CTTAACTACTAAATACGGTCTTATATCATTATCCCGTTTGGTAAACAGGACCCTATCAGAGAGATCATCAGACAGAGAAACTCGCTCCGACTCGACTGGTGATCTCTTAACAAGGCCCTGACTTACTCGTTTTTTGGCTTGGCATTGCATTTCGGACACTCAGGTGCTCTGACTCCCTTATGTCCACACCGGAAACACACCACATCCCTCGACTGTGTACAGCCGGAGGTAGGGTGACCGCCACCACCACAGCGGAAACACTTGTGTGCGCTCGAGGTCGAAGGACGGGCCACTGCTGAGACCTGTTGAGAAGTTTTTTGAACATATTTATTTTTCATATGGTGTAAATCCGAGGTGATCCCACACCTTTCGAAAGCTGGTTCCCGAAATGCCTCAGCCCTAGCACGCGCAAGTTCAAGGCGCTTTCCCAATCGCTTCAGATCAACTATAGATTTTACGTCATGAAGGGCCAATTCCTTCATGTAATCGGGCCTGATGTTGTGCATCAAAATGTCCAGTTGCTCCTCACTGGGCATCTTGCACGAGAGTCTAGAGAACATGGCCTGCATTGTAGAGATGTAGTTGCCCAATGTTTCTGATCGGGCCTGTGTACGCTGTCTGATTTCATTGCGGAGGCGATAATCATAGTCAGGAAGGTCGAAGGTTTCTTTCAGCTCCTCTATCATGCCCTCATATGAGGTGAAAGACTCCTTGTTGGTGCGGTACCACGACAAGGCCGGACCGTCCAATAGGTCAGAGAAGGCTGTGAGGATCTTATCCTTGGTGACTTCCCGAGCACATCTGAGCTCCTCTAGTCTCTCAATGAAGACACGTACACAAGAAGAGCCATCATATTTTATATTAAAAGAATTTAAATTAACGGGTCTATCCCTTACTATTATATTTGAATTAGGGTCGGAACTGGATGCGTTGGGTCGCGTCGAGCGGTCCCCCCCTACCACAGGTGAGGTGTAACCTATGTGGTCGCGATGAGTAGGATCGGTCTCCTTCTCCGAAACCTCAGAGTCCGAGTCGGTATCTGATTCAGACACTGCCAAAACTTTGACTAAGCGGTCACGGATGCCTACTAGTTCTGGACAGTCTAAACCACACCTGGCTAACCTAGCGAGAAGATAATTAGCCCTCAATGCAACTCTAGTACGACAATTTTTATTCGAAACAAAGTCACCTGAAGAAAGGACCTGTTCCAGCTCAGAGATCTTAGGCTCGCAGACAGACAACTCAGAGGCGGCAACAGCAGGAACAGCGGCGATGGCCTTAATGCTGCCACGCCGGATAAGCCGCAAAGCAGTACGCAGTTCAACTCGCAAGCCGACAACCGTATCCTCCGGATTCGCTGAAATCCCCATGGCAGACAGTTCATTAATAAGTTCATCCTTTTTAAGGTAGTTAATGCACTTACATAAATGTGCCATGGTGGTTTACAATTTAAATTCGATTATACAAAAATAATCCTAACAAGTTAACAAACCAGTAATGCAGACTTAATGTCTTTTACAGTTCAAAAAAAAGTAAAAAATAATGATATTGAGTAGACTCCTTCACTATCAACAGAGTGTGAGAAGTTTAAAGTAAATTAATATTTAAAAAATATTATAACAAAATATTAAAACATCAAGTAATATCTCAAAGTAAAAAAATATTGCTACTGAGTATATTTCTTCACCATTAAGTGTGAGAAAGCTAAAGCAAACTAATATTTTTAACAAATATTATAATAAAATATTAAAATATCAAGTAATATTTCAAAGTAGAAACTGAGTATACTTCTTCACTATTAAGTGTGAGAAAGCTAAAGCACACTAATATTTTTAACAAATATTGTAATGAAATATTAAAATATCAAGTAATTTCTCAAAACTTGAGAAGCAAATTCAACTAAAGACAAAGATATTCTTGTTTCACAATTCAAGACACAAGTTATACTATCTCTAGAACATTAACACAGTAATCCAATGAAATGACAAAGTTTTTTATTATAAAAGTTAATTCGCAAAAAAAATTTAAGACAAGTTATATTATCTTTAGAATATTGACATAGTAATCCAATGAATTGACAAAGTTTAATTATCATAAAAGTTATTTCAACATAAATTTTAAGTAGGGTATGTATATCACAAAACTATTTTATTCTAATTTTAAACCAGTAGGTTATATAAAAAATGGAGGGTACATAAAACTTTATAAGTTAAGTTAAGTTTCAAGTAAATTACACCAGTAGTACTGGGATAAAAAACACACTGAATATACACGTATGCACAACTTCACGCTACGGACCTCAAAGGTACGAACAGAAGTAGCTAACTCAAAAAAAAAAGAAAAAAAAAATTTAGTTAGGCCAAAAAATGTTTCAAAACTCACCCGAAATATGTGCAGTAGGAATTTTGAGTTAAATTTGGAATTTAGGTGTCTCACTGATTTTCCTTGCCTCAGGGATGATGGTACGATAGGCTGAAAATACAATGAGGGTAAAATTATTACATGCGTACTGCACCCGCACAACCAATTAACGTCCTGGGGAGTATCAGACGGAGGGAAGTGTCTCCTCCAAAGTGAATACCCTCAGGCACCCTCACACAGCACACACACAGAGGTTTGGATCACTGGCCAAACGTTGGTCGCCAATTTGTAGCCGCTTTTCCTCTCTGGCGGACTACTCACCGGCTGACCCAGTGGAGAGATTCAAGAGATTACCTCAGGGCGCCTTGTATGAGAATAGAAGTGTGTGCGTGTGGGAAACCTATGGGACTCTTTAGAGGAAAACAACTTACACCTCAGTTATACATACATGTATATTTCAAAGAAAAAGTAGATCAAATTAAACTAATTAAACAGTGTGGGTACAAGAAAAAGAAAAAAAAACCGCAGCGGTGCGCGTTAGAGCCGAGCTGATGGTGCTCGGTGCCTCCTCGTCGTCCCTCCAGGAGGTTACTTCCTCTTCCGCCCGAGTCGGCTATTTATATTAGATATGGATAAAAGTTTAACAATCTGCAATTATAAGTTTAAGTACGTAACTCTTGGGTACGGCTGTCCGCTTGCGTCGTGAGCCGCGCAATCACCAGCTTTGCCAGAGGGTACCGAGAAACTTGAGTCTGTACCAGAAGGCCACAAAAGAGCAAGCACGCCGTCTAAGACTGACCGTCTTGACCCCGAAATCTGGGACCCTACGAATGGATTAGCACTCATATAATTAAACAGGTTCCAGAAACAAATAGGTTTTAATTTAGAATTAAGAACATACTCACCACTTTAGTGTGGGTACTTTTGAACAGATAATATATTAAGAAAATCAAATCACACAGCAATCAAAAACACTATATAAGATCTGGGAAGGCACGAGATAGCAGTGTCTCCCGTGGAAGAAAGCCGGACTTATAATATCCTAGGTTCAGGAAGCTTCCAGACTTTATCCCTACTCAACACTTTACTTTGACATTTAACATCAGTGAACACAGAAGATCAATACTGTAGTTATAAACTACCTTAGATAAATCAACAACAATGCAACGCGGCTAATAGATGTAGCTTTTAACAAGACCATTCAAATGTAAAAAAAATAACTGTTACACAGTGCGACAGCTCTTTGTGCTAAAATCCATTCTGAGAAAGCACCGAAATGTACCCCCTCCAAACCCAAAGCGACGAAGGTTTATGTCGGTATGTCCTAGGGTCTATTTCAAAACCGCCTTTGCCAGTCGTCAATCTGTTAGTATTACATGTAAACTTTATAACCACATAAGTAGGATTAGATATTAGGTAGGTAGGTCTCAGAAGACACGAACTTAAAAATAAAATTACAAACTGGCTTCAGAAGCTAAATTATCAAGAAACAGAAAATTTACTGCAAACAATTAAATAATTCATTTCATTCTACTCTCTTGTGATAAACTGGGTATCTTCGCGTTTTTCACACTCGACTCGCACACACGATAACACACACAAACACACACACATACACACTCACACACACCTTCACGTCCTTACGCTACACAGTTTTTATTATACCTATTTTATTTTTATTGTTATGTATCTGTATTGCAAGTGCCCTATATTTCACTTTAGCGTAATCTTACATGTAAATTTTCCTGCGGCTGGATATTGTCATCCAAAATACAGGCCTCGCCTAGTTTGGTAGACAGCATTTAGTACCGTCAGTGTCATAGATTTTGTACTATTGTGATACTGTACCTCAACAGTGAGTGTAATTTTAAATGCAATAAAGATTATTATTATTATTATTATTATGCACGTGTGTGTTTATCTATGTCATCATTTTAAACTATTGTGATGCCTACTCTCAGTTCTCTCTAAAAGCAAATAGTTCTCGTGGGTTAAGTCGTCCGCGTGGTGACGGATTAAGAATACGGAATGTCATCACCCCTATTCATCCCGTGGGAGTCGTAAGAGGCGACTAAGGGAATAAACTACGCAGGACAACAGCACTGCAAAGAGAATGAAAACTTGAAACAAACCCTATACCAACCCGTCTGGCCAGCGTGGTATAGTAGGCCAAACCCTCTTTTCTAAGCAGAGGCTATGTCCAACAGTGGACTAGTAATGGCTGTTGATAAAGTCGTCTCTAGGGGTTTTCAACAGATATATTTATGACATCACTTCAATCAAAACAGGTTTATTTCTGCAACTAAGAATTTATGTGTTGACGTTAATCTGTGTCCCCACAGGAGGGGGTTATTTAACCGCCGTAGATGGCCCGAGGTATACCAGGGATATCCTTTCTAGGCTACACTTGGTTCCCCAGTCACTGGTACCTGAGACGACGTGCGTTTTTTTTGTGGCGAAATTAAAGTTACTGTAGTCAATTCGCTTTAAGAAAATAGTGACGCATCTATCAACTTCTTCATCGTCCCTTAACCGATCTGGTTCCTAAAAAATATCGTTTCGGACTAAAGTTTGGAACCTGATCGGTCATAAATGAACAATAGTATTCGTATATAAACGCTGCAAATGTGATTCCACAGGAGAACCTGCTTCTGGAGGTGATGTTCGAGATTCCGGGGTCGGACATCGCGGGCGTGCACATCCACGAGGGCTGCGTGATGCGCGCCGAGGCGCCGCGCGTGCAGCGCCGCCGCGAGCCCAGCGCCAGCGAGCGCGCCGCGCACGCCGACCTCGACGACTGGCCCTCGGTGCGCCTGCACAACTGTACGTAGGGTAGCGTAGCCTAGTGTAGCCCTGGCGTAGCCGCCGCGAGCCCAGCGCCAGCGAGCGCGCCGCGCACGCCGACCTCGACGACTGGCCCTCGGTGCGCCTGCACAACTGTACGTAGGGTAGCGTAGCCTAGTGTAGCCCTGGCGTAGCCGCCGCGAGCCCAGCGCCAGCGAGCGCGCCGCGCACGCCGACCTCGACGACTGGCCCTCGGTGCGCCTGCACAACTGTACGTAGGGTAGCGTAGCCTAGTGTAGCCCTGGCGTAGCCGCCGCGAGCCCAGCGCCAGCGAGCGCGCCGCGCACGCCGACCTCGACGACTGGCCCTCGGTGCGCCTGCACAACTGTACGTAGGGTAGCGTAGCCTAGTGTAGCCCTGGCGTAGCCGCCGCGAGCCCAGCGCCAGCGAGCGCGCCGCGCACGCCGACCTCGACGACTGGCCCTCGGTGCGCCTGCACAACTGTACGTAGGGTAGCGTAGCCTAGTGTAGCCCTGGCGTAGCCGCCGCGAGCCCAGCGCCAGCGAGCGCGCCGCGCACGCCGACCTCGACGACTGGCCCTCGGTGCGCCTGCACAACTGTACGTAGGGTAGCGTAGCCTAGTGTAGCCCTGGCGTAGCCGCCGCGAGCCCAGCGCCAGCGAGCGCGCCGCGCACGCCGACCTCGACGACTGGCCCTCGGTGCGCCTGCACAACTGTACGTAGGGTAGCGTAGCCTAGTGTAGCCCTGGCGTAGCCGCCGCGAGCCCAGCGCCAGCGAGCGCGCCGCGCACGCCGACCTCGACGACTGGCCCTCGGTGCGCCTGCACAACTGTACGTAGGGTAGCGTAGCCTAGTGTAGCCCTGGCGTAGCCGCCGCGAGCCCAGCGCCAGCGAGCGCGCCGCGCACGCCGACCTCGACGACTGGCCCTCGGTGCGCCTGCACAACTGTACGTAGGGTAGCGTAGCCTAGTGTAGCCCTGGCGTAGCCGCCGCGAGCCCAGCGCCAGCGAGCGCGCCGCGCACGCCGACCTCGACGACTGGCCCTCGGTGCGCCTGCACAACTGTACGTAGGGTAGCGTAGCCTAGTGTAGCCCTGGCGTAGCCGCCGCGAGCCCAGCGCCAGCGAGCGCGCCGCGCACGCCGACCTCGACGACTGGCCCTCGGTGCGCCTGCACAACTGTACGTAGGGTAGCGTAGCCTAGTGTAGCCCTGGCGTAGCCGCCGCGAGCCCAGCGCCAGCGAGCGCGCCGCGCACGCCGACCTCGACGACTGGCCCTCGGTGCGCCTGCACAACTGTACGTAGGGTAGCGTAGCCTAGTGTAGCCCTGGCGTAGCCGCCGCGAGCCCAGCGCCAGCGAGCGCGCCGCGCACGCCGACCTCGACGACTGGCCCTCGGTGCGCCTGCACAACTGTACGTAGGGTAGCGTAGCCTAGTGTAGCCCTGGCGTAGCCGCCGCGAGCCCAGCGCCAGCGAGCGCGCCGCGCACGCCGACCTCGACGACTGGCCCTCGGTGCGCCTGCACAACTGTACGTAGGGTAGCGTAGCCTAGTGTAGCCCTGGCGTAGCCGCCGCGAGCCCAGCGCCAGCGAGCGCGCCGCGCACGCCGACCTCGACGACTGGCCCTCGGTGCGCCTGCACAACTGTACGTAGGGTAGCGTAGCCTAGTGTAGCCCTGGCGTAGCCGCCGCGAGCCCAGCGCCAGCGAGCGCGCCGCGCACGCCGACCTCGACGACTGGCCCTCGGTGCGCCTGCACAACTGTACGTAGGGTAGCGTAGCCTAGTGTAGCCCTGGCGTAGCCGCCGCGAGCCCAGCGCCAGCGAGCGCGCCGCGCACGCCGACCTCGACGACTGGCCCTCGGTGCGCCTGCACAACTGTACGTAGGGTAGCGTAGCCTAGTGTAGCCCTGGCGTAGCCGCCGCGAGCCCAGCGCCAGCGAGCGCGCCGCGCACGCCGACCTCGACGACTGGCCCTCGGTGCGCCTGCACAACTGTACGTAGGGTAGCGTAGCCTAGTGTAGCCCTGGCGTAGCCGCCGCGAGCCCAGCGCCAGCGAGCGCGCCGCGCACGCCGACCTCGACGACTGGCCCTCGGTGCGCCTGCACAACTGTACGTAGGGTAGCGTAGCCTAGTGTAGCCCTGGCGTAGCCGCCGCGAGCCCAGCGCCAGCGAGCGCGCCGCGCACGCCGACCTCGACGACTGGCCCTCGGTGCGCCTGCACAACTGTACGTAGGGTAGCGTAGCCTAGTGTAGCCCTCTTTGTTACGTTTGGAACCGCCCCTCGGGCCGTCACCCCACCGGGGCTTGCGGCGGGGTGGTGTGCCACTCTGCGCCTGTAACAGGAGAGGTTCGGGAACTGCTATTATTAAGACATCCGGGCCCCCTTCTAGCGCCTGCCCGCAATGGCGCGGGCACCATCTTCGAGTACGTTCTCCATTTAAGCGAAGTTTGGCACACGCAGACGTCGCCTTCTCACGGCTGACCGAATTCAGCCGTCCGCCCATATAATTTAGCGAGCACTTCCGCCTATAAATCCCACCGGCCAATGCCACCGCACACCGCCTCTAACCGCCAAATTACCTTGCCAGAGGTGCGCCAGAGGCGTGCCCTATCCTGGGTGGTCAGAGCCACCGCCCACACCGGTGCACCGTACAGTGCCATTGACTGGACAACCCTCATGTACAAGCCGTCTTGTGATGACGCACGCTCCACCTAAATTGGGCAAAAGTCGCCCTAGAGCAAAAGCTTTGGAGTAAGCTGTTGGAAGTGCTCGTCGAAGACCCAACTCCCTTCAATAATCAGGCCCAGATGAAGTATCTGGGCCGTTACGAGGTCCGAACTGATCACGATGGAGGCACCGAGGGGCGGACCACGACGGGGCCCAGTGAACGAGGGCCTCCGTCTTATCTAGGGCCACCCGTAAGCCTAGCGCCTCAATGCGCCCGACCACCAGAGAGTAATAAATAGCGCCCAGCCCGGGGTAGAGGCGACCTCGAAGGGCCCAGTCGTAACCCATGTTCCACAGCACTCCTGTGGAACCGGGAACAGACCCCTACGGAACACCGCACGACATGGGTTAACGCTTTAAAGCACCATCTTGATCCTCGTACATAACGGTACGCTCCTCTAAGTAGTCTGCCACTAGCCGCCTCAGGTACCTGCACCCCATGATAGTGGAGTGCTTCCTGATACAGCTGAATGGCAGACTGTTGAATGCAACAGCGACCGCCAACAGCACGCCGCCACGGCTCACCGCCTCTTCCGTCACGGTCCTGAGGCGCAACACAGCGTCGACCGCCCCGCTGGAAAACCGAATTGGGCGTCCGACAGATCGGGACCCATCTCGCCGGAAGATGCGTGCAGAGAGAATTTTCTCAAACAATGTACCCGCCTTATACAGCAATACGATGGGCCGCGACCGAACTGGTAGGCCGCCCGGCTTCCTCAATAGGACCAGCTTCCCGCTCTTCCAGCACTCAGGGAAAGGTCCGGACGCCAAGCTACCGAACACCTCCCTGAGGTGGTCTGCCATGTGGTGGAGGGCTAGGGCTAGTACTCGGCCGGTATCCCGTCTGGCCCAGGACTTCTAGGTCTTCTTGGAACGGATGCGTTTCCTTAAGAGTGAGGCCTGACGCGCGAAGCTTTTGTCGCACCGCGCGATAAGGGCGACCCCAGGGGTCACGATCGAGACCCACCAGCATTTCTTTTCTTTTCACTTCTTTGGCGCATCTAATCGCCTGCCTGCCTGAGCGCCTGTCGGTACTCCTCATGAAGCCGGTCCTCTTCACCCTCTTCGTGGTCACTGCGCCGACTGCGGGAGTAGGTCCTCCAGCGGCCCTCGGAGCGCCTGTACAACTGTACGTAGGGTAGCGTAGCCTAGTGTAGCCCTGGCGTAGCCGCCTCGAGTCCAGCGCCAGCGAGCGGTGCGCCTGCAAAACTGTACGTAGTGTAGCCTAGTGTAGACCTAGTGCCAGCGAGCGTTACGTGTGGAAACCCCCTCGGGCCGTCATCCACCAGGGTTTGTGGCGGTACAAAAATAGAGGTTTTCACAGGTAATTAACTAACGCCAGTAAGCTTAACTTAACAAGCAAATGACTGCGTTAAATAAACATAGCTCATGTAGCGCTACATTTATAAATACTAGACGAATATTATACCGTTACTTTACATATTTTAACGATATTGCGTATAGGTAGAACAGCCTAGGACCCTGAGCTCGTCCAATCAAACAGGCCTGAGAACGGACCCGGTCGGTACCCTGGTGCCTGAGCCTCGAGACATTTGTGATGTCGACAATCTCCCTGTGGTGGAAGTGGGGGATGACGGTGACGACCTAGAGATCCCACACGACAGTGTTGCCATTGACGAACCTGCCTGTACAGACAGAGACCTAGCATGTGCTAACTGTACGGTTTTATATTATTTTTTTGTTGAACGTTATACACACTATGCGGCACCGCCGGGTCCGTTCAGGCTGCTTTGAACTTGGCTCGAGCAACTGCACTACACTGCCTTCGTCTTCTACATGCCATTTTCACATTTATGTGACCAAAACAAGATGATAACGCTACAAAAATACTTGACTATTACTTTTATGTAAAAAACTCGCTTTTCATCAATACGTGACGATGACGTCATCGCAGGTAGTCAGCGAACTGTTTAGCCCACAAATAGATATTGTATGCTTATAAAATTTTATTTCAATTCTTACACTTCAGATAAAATGTATACACGTTATCATATTGTTTAATTAAACGTTGACAATATTTGGCATCGGCACGTCATATGTGTAGATAACGGCATGTATATCAGACATAAAACATACAAACATTCCACGGTTTTAAATCGGGTGGTGCAGATTGCATTTCGATAAATGTCCGTTGTGAAGTTAGCTGTGCAATTACGGTGAAGCAGCCGCATAGTGCGTATGAAGTCTAGCTGTAGATTGCTTAGATCAGGGATTCCCAAACTATTTTGGGCAAGAGACCCCTTTTCCAAAATGAACTGATACCTCGGACCCTCATGGCCAAATTGCCTTAAAAATCCTATATCTACTTTGTTTCCTATTGATACAAAATACTTATCAATTTAATAAACTTTGCGCCGTTGCTTAAGTGAGTAAACTGGACATTATTTTCTCGTCAAAAGAACAATGGCGGGTCTTCATACATAAAAATATTTGGAATCAAATTGCATCGTCTTGTAGTGTAAAAATATAAAAAAAAACAGCTTTTTTTTTAGAATCTATGTGTAAAACCATTTTTGTTTGGGAAAGGCTAGGAAAAAAGATATTAGCATTTGAATTTTTTTTACGCACTACCGATTTCGACCCCAAGGGGTCGATATCGACCTCTTTGGGAATCCCTGGTTTACATGTTTCACGATAATACTCGGTAGACAAACATTTACAGATATTACCCTTGGTTCAGAAAGCTTACTTAAAATTAACCAATTGATTCAACCAAGGATTGAGTGTAACTTTACTAAGTCTGTCTTCATGTTTTGTTCCTCACTCAACAATATTTCCTCACTCGCAATAATTATTTTCAGTTCACGACTGAAGACTTTGATCTCCAATTGTTATCGATTCTCCGGTGGTATAAACAAAAATAAAAACAGTCTTATTTAAAAAAAATATAAATCAACTTTTGTCAAACCCCTATGCAAAAATCTATTAAAAAGTAAATTTTTGGTCGAAAAAAATCTATAACCACCGGATCGAATTGTAAATTTAAACCATCTGGAGACACACAATCCAATATAAGCAAAACCATTAAAAAACAGCTATTTAGGTACAGTTCAGTAATATACACACATCCAAAAAATTATATATAAATAAATAAACGTAGTGGTCCTACTGTATAATGGTACACCCACGGAGCGAATACAAAGAGGTGAGTGCCTAAGCAACTGTGTACAGTGATTCTAACTAGATCCTGACGTCATCACAGTGGGCGTGGCTTAAAATTAGTACGCTCAGCGTCCACACTGTGCGCTTGTGTCGCAAAATCGCAAATCGGTATTTTTTTATGGTATTAATATTATTCGGGTAGACGTTTTGTTGCTATGGATTGCATAACATTTCATTTGTAAGTAATTTTATACTTTATACTAGAGAACAAATTTTTATCGTTATTCGTAATTTACCAGTATGAGTTAAATCCAGGTCATAATCTATCTGTGTACCAAATTTTACCCAAATCCGTGCAGCCATTTTAGCGTAAAAATAACACATACACGTTACATATTAGGATTAGTCAACGCTAACGTAAGAACACATAAACTTTCGCTTTTGTAATAGCAGGGAGAGTACGATTATATTATATGTAAGATTTTTGCAATAGATTAAGTATCGAGATGGTTAAGAAAATTAATCTTAAAACAAAGTCATCATATCATCCCAGCCTCTAACAGTCCACTGCTGGACATAGGCCTCTCCTTAGAAAGGAGGTTTTGGCCTAATAAAAAAAACTCACTGTTACGAAAATTCTGAGTACGTCCCTTACATCCTACACTTAGTGTAAGATAGCTAAACTAAATATCAACATTGAAATAGAACGATTCGAGTAGTTTTGCTATTTGGTCGATGGAAAAAAGTGAAGTTGTAGCCGCTTTTCTTCTCAGGCGGACTACTCACCGGCTGACCCAGTGGAGAGATCTATGAGATTACCTCAGGGCGCCTTCTAAGAGAAAAGAAGTGTGTGCGTGTGGGAAACCTACGGGACTCTTTAGAGGAAAACAACTTACACCTCAGTCATACATACATGTATATTTCAGAGAAAAAGTAGATTTACAATAAAAAAAAATCAGAGGGTATAAAAAAAAAACCGCAGCGGAGCGCGTCAGAGCCGAGCTGATGGTGCTCGGTGCCTACCTTGTCGTCCCTCCAGGAGGTTACTTCCTCTTCCGCCCGAGTCGGCTATTTATATTGGATATGGATAAAAGTTTAACAAATTACAATCATAAGTTTAAGTACGTAACTCTTGGGTACGGTTGTCCGCTTGCGTCGTGAGCCGCGCAATCACCAGCTTTGCCAGAGGGTACCGAGAAACTTGAGTCTGTACCAGAAGGCCACAAAAGAGCAAGCACACCGTCTAAGACTGACCGTCTTGACCCCGAAATCTTGGACCCTACGAATGGATTAGCACTCATATAAATTAAACAGGTTCCAGAAACAAATAGGTTTAAGAAGAATTGAGAGAATACTCACCACATTAGTGGGTAGATTATAACAGACTACATATTACGAAATTCAAATTACACGACAATCAAAACACTATATAAGATCGGAAGGCACGAGATAGCAGTGTCTCCCGTGGCAGAAAGCCGGACTTATATATCCTAGGTTCAGGAAGCTTCCAGACTTTATCCCTACTCAACATTTTACTTTGACATTTACATTGAGAAAGAAAACAACGCTAACAAAATCAAAAGTAACTTGCTTTCCACCATAGCTGAACACTCCCAATACCTATACAATTTAACATGACAGAATAACAAAACAGATTAAAAAAAGAAGTCTTTTTATCAATCTATTATGTCTCAAACCAACGCCATCTAGTGGTCCGAAAGTGAACAAAGGAGATCAATACCGTAGCTACAAACTACTTTAGATAAATCAACATCAAAGCGATGCGGCCAAACAGGTGCCGCTTTTATCAATATCGTACGTATCACAAATGCACAAAAAAAATAACTGTTACAAAGTAGGCGGAGCTTATCCCCCTCCCCCCTCACCCTGCCAATTGTCACGAGTTGCTGCATATGAAAATGTAATTACAACACCTCTTTCTGTTTGCTCCGTGGGTACACCTTTCTGTAACAAACAGTAGCAAGAAGTACCTAGATTGTAGTTAGTGTGTATTGTTTATTGAATCTACTGTAGCGATGTGTTTCATTTCGTTTTCAGAATGTGTGTGTGACTACGGGCTCTGTTCCCTCAAACCCAAATCGGATGATCAATGTGCGATTTTGTTAGTTTTTTCTTTTCTTTATTTATTAATTTTTACATATATTTTAATATACAGCGATGGTATTATTTCCGATTACTGTATGTTGGAATCCCATTCATGTTGTAAACGCAAAAATTAGTGAGGATGAATATTGTATACATGTTTTATACTCAATCATGCCAAAACCCCTAAACAGAGCTAGGTGAAATTTTGGCACAAAAAAGAAGATTATATTGTATTTATAGATAGATTGTAGATATTCTATTTTTTTTTCTTTTATAAATGCCTAAAATGTTTAAAATACAAACCAAAGATTTTTTATATTCTTTTTTTTTTTGACGGAGTGGAAAATCACTTTGGATCTCCTGCTGCTCGGGGACTCAGGAGCCAGGAGTATGTTGTGATTCCACTAAAAACCACCCCAACGCAAGCCTCAGGTGCCCTACTATGGGAGTACCTGGACCATGTTATTTTAGATCCTCCCCTAATTGACACTATACTTAATCAGACCCTATCCCAGGGGAAAAAACATTTCCCCCCCTCAATCGCGACGAGGCTGCCCAATTTCGTCTTAATGCAATTAGGCCGCCATTCTATCCCCTACCGCAGCATTCAATCTGCCACCAGAGGTCCCCCACTCTCTAGCGGCCCGCGGCCCCGTCGGCGGCTGGTATGGTCGCCGACGTCCTCTAGTTCGGGATCGGCCCCCTCCCGATCCCGTTCAGCGGTCTCTTTCTGGACCATTACAGCTTCACAGAAAAAGACCACTGCGCCCCATCCCTCCTAACCCGGCAGCATTGCAGCAATGATTGCTGGCTCCCTCCCTACCTACCCAAGCTTCGAGTTTAGGCAAAACAGCACCGACAACCAGTTGGCGTGCATTCTGTGGCTGTTCCAGCCGCACGCGCCACTGCACCAGTGCCTTTCGGTATTATGGCTTGACCCATCACCCGATTCCAGATAGACATGGACTTCTGGGACAACCTGTACTGTGGTTAACACGCCACAGTTAATCATTGAGTTCCAAGGTCTCATAAACTTTGATGTGGCTTTAACACCCCTATTACTGCTTGTGATTCGGTTTGCACGACAGCGCTGGAGCCGTTTCTATAGATTTTACATATTATTACTATAAGATGGACGAAGCTTATTTTGTAAATATTCCTTGAATATAACTAAATATATATATTAGAAATTCTGAACACTGCAGATGGCAGTCCGTAAACTAAGCAATACATAGCTGCATTGGACAACGCACAATTGGGTGTTAGAAAAACAATTTTGCTCCCGTATTTACGGAAATTACAATAAACAATAAAAGACAAGAGAATTTTCTAAATGTGGTGTTGATTGTGTTTTTTCTGTCCACAGAGACTCAAGATAACAGTTCCACAACCATCTGCCACTCAGTCATGTGTGCTGTGAGCGGCAACAAGTATGGTGGTTACAAATGTACAGATACGTGTTGACAACCGTCACCACAACCCACACACACACACTCACACACACAGTCTCCCATGAAATAATGCTTGTACCAGACATCAGTGAACACAGTGTCCTGTTAAACGAGACGAGGTGAGGCCAGCCTGGACTTGCAAGCTACTTTAAGACTATAGGCTGCGATCTAATCTTCGACTTGAACTGCAAATGAGACCTCGAGAAGCTCACACTACTTTCTATCTCAATCGCGTCATTCAAACAGCAATAAATAGCTCAGTCTGCGACAAATAGTCGGCTTCTGCCAAATGTTTGCTGCTGACTTTAACCCTCGCTTCGGTGGCTTGCCTCATTCGTTACGAAAGCAGGGCCACCCTCAAATGGCAGGATATACAGCAAACATTGCTAATTTTTTGCAGCAGACTACTGGCTTTGTATTCAAAGTTGACTGTACGCGATGACGGAAACAAAGTTGCAGGACTGTATGCCAAATTTTGACGTGTAATAATAATAACACGTAGAATAATAGAAAACGAGAAATAACTTAAAAAAAGATCAAGTAAATAGTTAGGAAATAGACAAATAAAATTGCGCGAACACATACGACAGCATTGACACATCTGTTAAAAACCGCAAATTACAATTTTGACTTTAGGCGTTTTTATTCAAGGTTGCGAAATTTCGTACCGCGGTACTTCATTACATCGTTTTGTGTTAGCTAAATATCGCGGATTGTGACGTAATAAATGTAGTTCAAAAACCTTTCATTGCTAAATGGAATCCATTGTGAAATTCCTAGATGTGTTCGTCTAAATAAGTAGTGTTTTATGAAATTGTTAGATTCAAAGGCGTGTTTCGGGGTTTTTTTTTAATAATATGCTCAGTCAAGTTTTTTTTAAGATTTTGATAGTAAAAATCGTTAGCTAATTTTACGGATAGTTGCGTTTTTACTAATTTATTCCTCGCTCTTATACTATTTAGAACCCGGAATTATCCGTAAACTTAGTATTTACAGTTCAATTAACCATATGATTTGTAAATACCTACCGTGATTAGAATAGCTATTTAAAAAAATCCGTATTCGGTACGCATTCGGTTATCGACTTCTAATAACTGTTTAGAAAATTTTAATTTCAAAGATGAATTAGAAAAATTAAAGGGTTATGTGTTTATATGACGTTTCCGAATGCGCAATTAACTTTGCCCCAAGGCATTTCTAATGAAAAAAATCTCATAAAAAGAGGGTAGTTTTAAAAAAGAGCATTTGTCGTTATCTGAGAATACTGTGATCTAGTTGCTAGGTAACGAAGGCGGAATAACATCGAAACATGCCTTGTCGGTAAGCATTTCTTGAATGTTACCGTTTTTTTATTAACATTCTCGATAAACGATTTTTTCTCATTGTGCTTGTTACAAAATTTTGCCTAGTGATCGTCTTAGAAAATTCTTCAAAATGTCATTTTCATCTTTAAGTTTAGAACTTCATGTAGTCTGTATTAGTTTATTGTGTTCCATGTTAAAAAATTAAATTTAAAAAAAAGTTGTCTTTGTCCACAACCACCATACGACAAGCTCATGTGATGTAAATTACTGTAAATAATTATGATAAATAGAAAGTGTTATAATTAAGGTTTATTAAAAATAGTTGTTTTTGCTATGTCCCTACTAAGTTGTAAGTACGAAAGTCACACTCAAATGTTAAAATATATAACTGATTATTTCGGCTGGCAACACTGAGAGAAGTATACGTTTTGACATTTTGTTAATTATTATACATAATTATTTTTTTTATTTATAAAAGGATCGTTGTGGTGTGATTATAGTTAGTGTGAATATTATTTTTTTGTTAAAAATCTCCAAAAAATATTCGTATATTTCAGGACTTGTGATAGGATAAATTTTTATGGCATGTTGATATAATCACATTGCAACTCGAGTAAAATAGTATAAGCCTATTTTCAATTAAAAATATAAAGAAAACCAAATGTTAATTGTTTTATTTACATTTTTTCCCCAAAAAGACACCCTATTGAATCAATGGATGTTGCTACACCCCGTAATAGTTATAACACCACATAATAACGTTTGTGTCTCAGTTGTTTGGGGGTTGGGATACACTGTGTATCCCAACCCCCAAACAACTGAGACACAGGGTTGCCAACTTTTTTTACAAGAAATAAAGTATATTCAGGTCTATGAAGAATATTAAACAGTATTTTAGAAAAATGAACAGTATTTTATTTATTTATTGTTTTAAATACATTTTCGCACAACTTACTAATTTACAATCTTTTTTAAAAACTTTATACGCCTCCTCACAATCATAACTGAAATTAAAATAAATGAGGAGCTCATTTTTTATTAAATTAATAGATGCTCTATTTCTATCCTCCCGCCACTTAGCATTCATTACTGAAAAAACTCTCAGTAAATGCTGAGGTGGCGGGAACAGAAAGTAGATATGAGACAATTATGTTTTTAAATTCTTCTGAAGTGTTTACTAATAAATGGCTCCACTTTTGGTCAGTACTCATTTCAAGAAAATCTTTGTCTTCTGATATTTTTTCATAAATTACTTTGAAATTTGTTAATTCTGATTATAAATCATCCATACCATTGAGTCTATACAAATTTAGATTATCTATAATTTTCTCAAAATGATCAAATGTGACAGAAGACTTCAATGACAAACAGCTAATTAAAGAAAGCCAGTTAGTCGGACTGAAATCGAAAAAATTATCTAAATACAAATTATTCTTATCAATTAATAATTAATGTTATTAAAGTTGTGAAACCAAAACAAGGTCCACACGAAAAAAGGTTATGTTCTGAGAACGCATTTGCACGCTATCGCACGTCTGTCAGTGAGTGAGTCTCGAATATTTGACATTGACATTGACAGATTCGTTCAGAAACTCAAAGTGATTTGTTTGTGGCTGCGCTACACTGAGCAGTGAGCGCCCTCTGACTAAATAAAAACTAATTTGTGTGAGTGTCTAATAACACAAAATGTGTTAGCATTTTGATACTGAAAACAGTATTTTGTATACTTTATTTTTGTTCAACAGTAAAAAGTATAATTCAGTGAAAAACAGTATTATACTGTTTAAAACAGTATGGTTGGCAACCCTAGATACACATGCCATTGTTAAAGCCTCATTGTGTCGTTTTCATCATTAGCGGGCTCAGCATACTCAATACTGACCCTTTTTGCCCGTGTAATATAAGTAGGCGGCGATTTCGACGGGGTGATTTTACTCAATGAGAACTGCAAGCTAAGCCCAGAAGTTTGATACGAGCTCACATCTGATTTATTTTGAAAAGGTTATTGTCGTAAACCAAAATATTTGTTGACAACAGCGCTGCAAAAAGAAGGAAAACTTGAAACAGACTCCATACCAACCCGTCTAGCCAGCGTGGTATAGTCGGCCAAAACCTCCTTTTTAACGAGATTCGCAATTTGTACATAACCCGGCTGAGTTCGCATGGCTACAAAAAAGCGGCCGTGCAGTAGATTCAATTTTTTGGTGCTAATATTAAAATAATTTAATTTTAAGGCTTTTCAGAGCATCTCCAACTACTAATGAGAACGTAAGTAATCGCTAAGTCATGGATTTTGGTGACTTAGACTATGCTAAGCATTTGCTCAGCTTGAGCTAAGCATTATGACTATAAATTTCAACGCACACTTAACTCTTGAGGTAAGTCTGAGCAAAGTCTAAGTACGCTTTATAAATTTCAGCCTCAGATAACATTCTGAAGTTTACAGTATAGTATATAGTAATTTTGTACCGTTGCGTAGGTACACCACGGATAGGTTTAAATTGGTTAAAGTTTTATTATTAAGCGGTCAAAATCTTCAAGTAATAATGACTTATAGATTTGACTATTAGGCATAGATTTATAGGTAAAAATAAAACGCATTACGGAGTTTACCGCAACAGCAATAGTGGCGTGTTTCATTAAGAAAAATAAGTGCAATAAATAGAACATAATTATGACGGGCGATGACAATATCATGCTATAATATTTTAATGTAAAAACAAGTCCAAAAGTGACGTAATTGTTATTTGTAGCTTCCTCAATAAATGTTAATGTCGTGCTTTTACACTACTGATATAACCGCTACAAAAAGAACAGTACACTACGTATAAACTCAAATAATGAAATCCGAACTTTTTCCGCTGAGGCAACGCACACATTTTAAACCTCTAAGATCTTCTAAAATATTAATTTTAATGATAAGTAAATCTACATTAAATGCACAACGTATCTAACGTGTTTAATTAGATAAGGAATAATAATGTATTGTTTATAATTTAATTTCGTAAATCACCCATTATTTTTTGTAATATTTAAGAGATAAAAATTTGTTACAGTGGTTTATCCTTAGGAGCTAGACATATACCATCACGGACTTTTATGTAGATCTTCTTAAGATATATAACTCCACAGTACATTATCTTAGTCTATCTCGTAAGGTTTAGCCAGCGTTTGCAATCTAAGCGCGCAAAACTATATTTAAAAAAAAAGCTTTTAAATTCTCGGATTGCTAGATATAATATGTATGTATCATACATATAAAACTTCCTCTTAAATCACTTTCTCTAAAATCCGTTGCTTAGTTTATAAAATCCAAGCGTACAACAGAAAAATCGACTTTATTTTATACCATGTAAAGATATATATATTATAAATATTATTAAACCACAACATTGTTTTGATGTGAAGCATTCTTGTCTTCTATGTAATCCACAACTGAGTAGTAGGCTTTCTGACATAATTTACGTTTTAATGCGGATTTAAATTTGTTTGTACTTGAGTCTTGTATACTATTTGGGATTTTATTATTAAATCGGACACGGTACGACAAGTATACGCCCTATTTCTGGTATTTATAAAATGTACATAATTTCTTTTCGTTTTTATTTTGAAGATATATTACATTTTCATATAAATATATATTGACATGCCACTGTCATTATTGGTCATTATGTTATTGTAACTTCGTTCCGACCGGGGGTCCATAGACCCCTCATGCTGTTTTTTTATTTTACTTTATTTTTATTGTATCTGAATATATTATACATTATAAAGCTAAGGTACTTTCATTAAAATTATAATACGATCATTAAAATTTTACATTAAATCATAAAAACTTATAATATACTGAAATACATGAAAATAAATTATATTTTTATTAAGTACATCGTGTGTAGATTAAATCTCAAACAAATAAATCTAAAGATATCCAGTTAGTACATCGTGTCGTCTATAGCCAAACCAAGCCTAACACATGACCCGCCCCGCGTCCCGCAAACCATCGGGAGGGCCAAGCGGGCGGTTTGACTATAGTGTGTATTAAGTAAATTGCCTATTTCGGCCATAGATGGTGTAGAGGTAAATCCCACTATGATTTCATTTTCGACCATTGTACGCTCTAAGGTACCACCGCAGTTTTATTGCAGACATCACTGGAATCAGGACGCTCACTTATACTTACTTACGTCATATATGTGTATGTCGCAATTACACTACCTAATACTCACGCACAGATGCAATAGGCAGGATTAGATTAAAATTATGAGGACGAGGCTGCATACATTAAAGTAAATTGATTATTATTCTGTCGTGGTAATCGAAAGAGCAGTAAGTCAAAGGTGTTTAATTTTATTACTGATTAGACGAGCGATTTCTGGCAACCGCGAGGAGGCATCAACCTCCTCCTCAACCTTCCACAGGCTGTGCAGTTGGGCGCTTAATCGTAGGCGTCCGCCAACTGTCTCTTTCTCGTACTCGCTCGCCAACTGACTACTTTAATTAGTATAGCGTTATGCCAATAATAAGTAAGATTGTTGATCGCTTTAATTATATTAATGAATAAAACGAGATTTTGAAGTAATTTTAATGAAGTTTTATATACCTACTACTATTCATAAAATCTGCTGATAAAATTCTGAAAACACCTAACTCAAACTACTACTCTAAAAAGCAGTAACGTTCTTTACTCCATAGTCAAAAAGCCTAAAACATTTTCAAGATTTAAGATAAAGGGCAGTATGATGCCTCCTTACTGCCGTTTTAAGTAGTAATTGAAATGTATTATTTTGAATTCTTATGACAATATAGCAATATGAAATAATACTAAGCAAGAGTGCGGTATCTATGGCGGTTACTGCCGTTTTAGCTAAGTATTAATTAAAAATATAGTAATGAATACACGATTTTCTATGATTTGCGATAACCCTAAATAAAAATGTTAAAACAATGTTATTCTACTGTGAAAAAACATATTGTTCCCTTTCTTTTCATATTTAAAACATAAAAATCGAGTATACATTTATATACTCGTGTATATAAATATATATACTCGTATGTATAGTTGTATCACAAACGCTAAAATTGTGACAAAAACTGCGCGTGGTTTTCTCGAAACCGCCTTTTCTGCCTTACTGCTAAATCAATTACCGGGGCAGTATTATCACCACCTTATTCAAACTACCAAATTTCTTTTCTTATCAAACTTCTTGTAACTCTCAGTTTGAGCAATATCTAAAAGGATATCCACTACATTATATACATCTTCATAACTAGTATATAATGCCACAGGTGTCACACGAATCACATTGGGATCCCTAAAATCAGATACTACACCGCGGGCTTTTAACGCCAAGCTGATTCTGTATCCATCTTCGTGTTCTAAACACACATGACCTCCTCTCCGATGGTTTTCTCTCAGGTTGCCAATGCTAAATCCATATTTAATCAACTTAGTTTCGATAAGATAGATCAAGTAGCCTGTTATGTGTAGAGACTTCTTCCTAATATTTTCAACACCTGCATCAGTTGTGATTTTGAGCGATCCCTCGAGCCCAGCCATAGATAAAATATTCGGGGAACCAATTTGCCATCCATTTCCGCATTGCTGGTGTTCGAACTCTTGTTTAAGCAAGAATTGGGTCTCAGGCTTATTACCATACCATCCAGTCAAACCTGGCAACTTTTTGAAATGTTTCCTATTAATATATAAAGCCGCTGTAGATCCTGGGCCGCCATTCAGGTATTTATAAGTACACCATATCGCGAAGTCAGCATCGAGTTCTTTCAAATGAATTTCTATCGTTCCAACAGCGTGGCAGAGGTCCCATCCTATGATAATATTTCTTTCTTTCGCCGCTTTCGTAATTTTGGCCATGTCCAAGATTTGAGCAGTTCGGTAGTACACCGTTGGAAGGAACACTAAAGTGACTTCGCTGGTCATTGCGTCTATGATATCGTCTTCGTTCATGAAGTAATTCTTACTTTTCACCACTTTGACCGCCTCCTCAGGGGTGTAACCTTGTAATCTAACCTGACTATCGATTGCATATCGGTCAGTCGGGAAATTGATGTCGTCAACCAGAATCTTGAACTTTTCTTTGGTTGGCTTGTAAAACGTGCTAATAGTTTGATGGATATTGATTGTAGTTCCTCCAGTTATAGCAAGCTCTTCTGGGTCAGCTCCAACTATGGAAGCCATCATTTTAGCAAGATATTTGGAATATAACAAATATTTGTTATCTTCAATGTTCCAGATTTTGATAGCTTCTTCTTTCCATTTCTCGATCGCATTCAGTATGCATTGCTCAGCGTCTTTAGAGGCAAGACCTAGAGAGTTACCACACATGTAAATACAGCCTTTCTTCAAGTAGAAGCGATGTCGAAAGCTTCCTAGTGGATCGTTCTGGTCTAATAGCTTTGAGTATTCAGCATTCTCTTGATATTCTGAATCCATTGTGTTAATACTCGTTATCTGTCAAATGTGCTCGCAATATTTATCTTTTTAATCTTCGAGGGCGGATGACTGATATTAGAATCTTCAGATCCTGGGTATAAATAGGTGTGGTTTATTTATTTGTTTCAGTGTTATCTTTAAGGCAGTAAAAGTTATTATGCGAAATTTTAAAGTGTCGTGCAGTGTAGTGTGGCCATAAAATTTTTGCTGGTGCAATTTTTTTATGTTAACATTATTTTTTGTTGCCGAACTTATTTTTTATACATATACAAAATGTTGTATATGTATCCTAAATACTCTTTACATAAGGTTATAAGAATAAAACATCAAATTCGTTAAAGTTATCCCGTTGCTTCACCTACTTTTGACCCTTTTGCCAAGGACTGTAGTGGCTTATTTGGCTTTATTATTATTATTCTATCGATACCTAACACCCCTAAAAATACCGTAAAGGTATTTTTAATATAGTAACAAATCGACTATTAAGAGGTTGATATGCCAAGTCTGTAGATTAAATTGTCTCTCGTAATCGTCCAAATTACATAACTATTGTATTGTTGTCCACTGATCAAGCCCCGCCCCCTGAACAATCAAGTTCAAAAAAATTATAAAGTTAAGGTCACATTGACTAGTTGACTGCAGACTTTGGTACTAAACGATTGCATTCTCTGAGCGTTACATCATCAATAATTCGTATTGGGAAAGACGAGTAATTTACTTATAATGTTTTTAAGTAGACCAGGTACCTAATTTGAACTGGTTTAGCGTCAGTATGTACCTACTGGCTGATATCGAAACCTATTACCACTTGCACTTGCAGCGATTTTGCACTTTTTTTAACAGAAATAAATCCATTAATATGAACATATTGTGCATAGCAAAACATATATTATAAAAAAAGTTGAACCTGTAAAGTTAGAAACATGATTAATATAATTTGGCTCTATTAAACAAAAGATAATACTAACTCACGATTTCAAATTAAAATTGCTATGAAATGCATCATGGATTCATATAAAAGTTATACCCAAAAATAAAACTTATTTTTTTAAACCGATTGGTAAAGACACATTGTTATATATTCTACTGTTAAAAAAAGAAACCAAAAATATGGTGTTGCGCTTGCTTACGGCGACGCAGTTCGCCTGTCAGTGCGCGCTGAGCCTTGTTTGAGGATGGTCGCATGCATAGAGATATAAGCATAGGATGAACAAGAGCCCCAATCTTGCAATGTAAGCAACGAGAGAGTTTACCACAGCCTCATGCCGCCCTGAGTGTGGCCGCGGGTGGACGGGACGGGTATCCTTTCCACCCGCCATAACGGCCAGCTGCGAGGAGGCTACGACCGCGGGTGCCGGACGTCGGATCTCTCCTATTACAGGCGCAGAGTGGCACACCGTGTAGTTTCAGTCGGTCCGACTCCGACACACCACCGCAAACCGGACGGCCCCAGGGGGTTTCCACATGTAATAAAAAAAAAAGGGTTTGTGTCAAGTTTTCCTTCTCTTGCCCTGCGTGGAGCAAACGACACCAACGAGATAAATAATGGTGGTGACACTCCGTATTCTTAATCCATGACCACACTGACAGGTTAGGGTTGCAAATGTTTTAGATTACACCTTATATCTAGACCCTATAGCTAGAGATTAGTTTTATATTACTCAAAAATATGGTCTCCCTAGTGAAATAATGTCAACGATAAGAAATACGATATGACAATAATACTCGTATTTAAAGATTATATGTAGTAATAAAAGTGATAGGTTGATACAAATTGACAGTAATAACAAATCAGAGTTTGTCATCAGCGCCACGATTTAGTGTGAACAAGAAGGTTAATGAATGCGGACAGAAGGTGAGCATCTGTACATAAGCGAAGGTTGCAGAGGCTGCAGAGTTGCAGAGGAGTAAAAACTTCTCGACGAATCGCCTCGACTCTAATCGTCGAATGCCACGGTATTTGAGATTGGCTTGACCACCTGGTGTTGCGTACAGATCTAGCTTCACTCTACATTCTCTATAGTTTGTATTCTCTATAGTCTGTGGAACAAATTGTCACCTGCTTTATAATTATCCGAACCGATAAGACCTTCAAGCTTTCAAGAAAATTGTAAACCCCTCATGGGTGTTGAGTTCCTGGTAACCAAAGTCGACGGCAGTCATCGTCTGGTGAAACGCCAGCTTGTTTATGACCTAAGTCATTAAAAAAACTGCCAGAAGTGGTATCAATAATAAATTATTAATCTTTTTTTAAAGGTTGTCTCAAAGCCGTTTCAAGCATCGTAATTGGTTGAATCCCAGGTAAATATTTTTAAAAGAGGAGCTAAAAAGACAGGTCCAGTGGAAGATAACAAAGCCAGTAGTGTAACAACTAACAATTCGCTTAGGCTTTGTACAGGTAGTGCAGCATAAGTCTATTGACTAAAACGACACACGCTACGCAAAACAGTGTTCACGATTTTATTATACATATTATCATAGAATTAAACAATGGATTTAATAAAAAAAAAAACAAATTTAATAATCCATATAAATTATTCACTATAACCTTCAACCAGAATCAGCGTTAATTTGGTTAAGCTATTGACTAGTTGATAAATTGGAACGGGCTTTTTCACGTCTTCGTAAATGTATTTGTATCATCTTAGAAAAATACAAATTTTCGGTATAAAAAGTAATGTAGAGTATGTGAGAGTTCTCTGCGTATAAACTATCGTATAATACAAACAAACAACCATGGATATTTATACATATGTTATAGTCCATCTAATCTAAGAAGTACCGTTTGACGTTTCATTTTTTCAAGACGAAACAACTTTGTATAGACGTATCTCACACAACTTCGATAACTTTTTCCGTAAAACCATGGAGGTTTGTAGTTTATTTTGGCGCAAGATATACAATTCTTAATGACTAAATTTAAATTAGATGTTTTCTTTTCAAACTTCAGTTTAAAGTCACGTAGTTAGGTCCTTTAAAGTAGTGTTGCGGCTCTTCAAATTCCCTTGAATACGAATAGTCTTTAAAATAATAATAATAATAATAATAATAATATATAATAATATATCTCACACATCTCACACACGGCCGTCTGATCCCAAACTAGGCAGAGTCTGTACTATGGTAACCAAACCGCTGATAAACATACTTATATATTTTTAAATACATACATATTATAGATAAATTACACCCAGACACAGAACAAATGACCGTGCTCATCACACAATATTTGTCCTGGGTGGGAATCGAACCCACGACCTCCGGCTTAGCAGTCAGGGTCACTAACCACTAGACCAACAGGCCCGTCAAAATGTACGAAATATCGAATTTATTAATAACGAGTGATTTCCAGTCCAGATGCCTTAGTGTTTAATAATTTTTAAAATTCATCTGACATCCAACGTCAACGACAGCGCTTAATTAAAATTAAAAGTATGTAAGTTAATAAAATTTTAATTAATGTATACCAGGGATTACTATTAAAACCTATTATGTGCTACTTACGGGCTTTTACAGTATAATACATAAAATGTAAAACTGTAATCGATTAAATGGTATCGAAATCTCTTAAGAATTTAGCAATCGATTTCTTTGAACCTATCGCTGTACGTCAATCTGTCAGAACTGTCAAACGGTACTTCTTAGATTAGATGGACTATAGATAAATTACTGTATTAGAACCGTGTGTCCTTCGCATCCGTCTTTCGTATTAGCTCTAAGTCTAGGAACCTACACAAATTGTTACCTTAATTTTAGTACTATTTTTTGTAAATACTTTTTTTATTGTGTACTAGTTATGAAATCGAGTCATACACTCTTATCAGTTTTTTATGTAGGTACTTTAGTGTACTTACTTAGATTTTATGTTCATTATGTTGCGATTTATCTATGTGCGTTTAACTTCTACAAATGTCACTGGTACCCGAGAAGGCGTGCGGTTTTTGGTCGGGTCAAGTCCGACATAACCACCACGGTGGAGGTTATATGTTTTATGTATTTTGTATAGTAAAAATAAATGGTTTAAATAATAGGAAGTGTTTATTTAACGATGAATTTGAGAAGTATTACGATTTAATGTGTGATAGATTTATAGTCTTATCTCCATTACGGTTACCTAACGGTTCGTCTTGAAATTTAGGTCGATATAAAGGATGTACCTTTACTTAAAAAACCACCTCAAATAATGTACCACTAAAATATTAAAAGATTTTATTTAAATATTAAGAGTAGGTGTGTATGTCCAAATTCACAAAATTCACACACATTTATAAAATTAAAAGAATTTTATTTTACCCAATTTTTATTTTTTATGCTTTATCTGCGTAAGTAGATATTCATCCATTGTCATAGCCTTCCCTAAATACTTCTTCCCAACAAGATATAACATGTCAGACTCTCAACTTTATGCATCAAGTGTGGTATATATATCTATCTAAATATCAGCCTTATGTATTTACGCCAGCAGAAGAGGTGATGCACGTCTGGACTTTAGACTTGCTGACCACCTATCAATTGGACCCTAAGCTTGTTTCCTACCCAAGGGATATGAATAAATAGAAACACACTATACATAGCCACGACAATAACTTATTAAGCTAAGCAATATCGCCTATCTCTATCACACGTAATTGTTGCCTACATTAGATTATTAGATTATTAGAATTATCTATCTCTAACTATTTTCAAGAGTTACTGTTATTAGATGAATTGTTATTATTATCTTTACATAGTATAAAATAAAGTCTCTTTTTTCTTGTTCGCTTAGATCTTTTAAACTACGCAACGGATTTCAATGCGGTTTTCACTAATAGAGAGAGTGATTCAAGACGCGGGTTTATATATATAATACAGACATATTATGGCAGAGGTAATCCGAGAATTTCAAAGATTTTTAATGTGAGGTCGTAAAAAACATATTTTTGTGCGCTTACATTGCAAACGCTTTCTAAACCTTACGAGGTAGATCGAACTAATTTACTATAGAATTGTATATCTTAAAAATATCTACATATGAATCAGTCATGATATATGTCTATCTCCTAAGGATAACTCAGACTAACCATTTTTATATTTTACATGTTACAAAAAATAATGGGTAATTTAAGCTATTTTGAACAATACATTATTATTCCTTATCCAAATAAATACGTGAAATACGATGTGCAATTTATGTAGATCAAAATTTATTTTTTACAATATATCATTACCATGAATATCTTAGTAGATATCAGAGATTGAAAAGCGGCCATCGCCCCGTCAGGCCGTACGTCCTTCCCGGGTGGCAGCGGCGGCAGGAGGGGTGCGGGCCGATAAATATTGCATATAAAGATGCCCTGTAGTATAGTCTTATCATAATAATGGTACAATTAATTACTCCACACTGACACTACATTACTAGTAGTACATTGCACCCATGTAAAGCCGGGGCGGATTGCTAGTTACAATAAAGAACGCTTTCTTAGTACACACATACACTCACGCCTGTGTCACCGAAGAGGTCCCTATTTATCCCATGGGTGTCGTAAGAGCCGACTAAGGACAACAGCACTGCAAAAAGAAAGAAAACTTGAGACAAACCCGATACCAACTCGTCTGGCCAGCGTGGTATAGTAGGCCAAAACCTCCTTTATGAGGAAAGGTCTATGTCCAGCAGTGGACTATTAAAGGCTGTCGATGATGATCATGACCTAATAGGGACGAGCAGACGGGTTCACTTGATGGAAAGTGACCATCGCCGCCCATGAACGTCTGCACATCAAGAGAACTTACAGGACCTGGTACATGGAGACAAGAATCAAGCTCCAATCATATAGCTGATCTTGTGAACTAGGTTAATGACCATTATTTTTAATCAGCAAAGAATGAAGAACTTGTTTCAAACACTATTTCGTGAGAGAATGTGCCTTCACATGGCAAAGTAGCAGAATAATCTGAAATACCTGTGTTTTCTTTTATCAGTAAAACATTATTATAAAACTACAGCAAATAAACTACTAATATTGTTTATTATTTAACTGTTATAAACACTAAATCTATACTAATATTATAAAGCTGAAGAGTTTGTTTGTTTGTTTGTTTGAACGCGCTAATCTCAGGAATTACTGGTCCGATTTGAAAAATTCTTTCAGTGTTAGATAGCCCATTTATCGAGAAAGGCTATAGGCTATATATCATCACGCTAAGAGCAATAGGAGCGGAGCACCAATGAAGAATGTTTCAAAAACGGAGAAAAATTATTACTATTGAGAGACGCAGACGAAGTTGCGCGGGTCAGCTAGTATTTCATAAAACGTTTCCTTTTTTTTATTACACACGATGTAAATCTATCTTCAATTTTAAACCGTAACAATGATGGATTTTTATTTTTAATAAGCGTATTCTGGATATCATTGAATTTGTTGTTCACGTCTCATTATCATTAGTTCAGGTATGTGTAAAATATAAATTATGCATTTTATTGCAGCATTTCGGGCTTCTTTGATTTTATATTTATTTTCCCTCATATTCCACAACACTTCTTCTTCATAAAGCTCCACAAACCTCATAGTGTCACGTTTACTCCACTTTTTTTTCGTTGACGCCATATGGTTTACATTAAATCATCCGAGTGCACTCGAAAAATTAGATCCGCGTCCGAGTCTACTCGGATCGGTATCCGACGCCCGTGTGCACTCGGATGGCGTGTTTACACGATACGAGTAGCATCCGATTAATAATTCAAGCGCACTCGGTCCGAGCCCATTCGTAACGTGTGAACGTGGCTTTGAGTATTGGTTGTTCCTGGCATGCAACTATAGAAATACTGCTATAAATCATTCCGTTTTCGAAATATAACTCTAAATGATATATCACAAACAAAATACAATCCTCTATCACAAAAGTCATAAAATTTTACTGAAGTTTGACAAATTATTATTTTGGTGACAACTTTTGCACGTTTGAAATAAAATCATGAATAAGTGTGCGCCTTTGATGATTTCGTTCCGTCAGTTCTCATTGACTCGTGGCGAATGGTCCAAATGCATGCCGAAACCTGATTATGGACCAGTAGAGGTGCAGCGTTCAAGGCTAATGAATGGCGTCAAAGTTGCTGCAGCAAAGCCCTTTGGAGCTCAGATAGGATCTTGCACTATTATGTATCAGGTCTGAGTTGCATTCAGCTAAGTATCCGGCCTGTCCTATAATTGAAACTACATGTCTAAGATGATTGATCTCTCTAGATAGCCTGTCAACGCAATGCTGTAAAAGCGTTAAATAATGTGTAATTTTGTATGTGAAACATAGCAAGCCATTCCTTTTGTATCAGAGTGCAAAACATAGGTGTCACGTAGAAGACCATGCCTAATTAAATTTGCACATTGGTTTCAGTTTGGCATTAAGAGAATTTAACTAGAAACATTAATTATTTAAGCCATGAGGCTATCTAAAATTTCCTGTTCATAATCGGTCATTTTTTCCCAATCCTTCACCCCTCCATCCTCCTGATTCTGATATCTAAGGGGAGTTGTCTGTTGAGTTGCAGGTGTTGATGGGCGGCGGTAAGTGACCACACTTACTATCAGGTAACCAGATTTCATCATTCAATAAAAAATATAGATTGACGTTTCTAGGCGGGTTCTCGTTACGAGGAAGACGACGAAATTGGTGCAACCCACTTTCTTCGAGCAATCTCTGCAGCCTCCAGCCAAGGATACTCCAGTTTTGCGAAAGCTCGTTACCTGCCGCAGCATGGAGCCTCAATTACCTGTACTAGTGATAGACAATCCATTTCCTTCACGCTAAGATGCCCCATTAGCACCTTCCCAGATTTGAAAAATTACTTACTGGATACTGCTGTCAGGTACCTAATTCCTTTTACATGCTTAACCACAAATATATTTATTTTTTGGTGCTTTTTGTCAGCGGTCATTATTGCCTTTGCTAGTACAGGCTCTCAGTTTTTTCTAAAAATATTCTATCTACGAACATGTACAATATAAGTACATCCGCAAAATAAAAATAAGAAAAAATATATATTATTATTTCACATGACTTAATTTTATTTGTGCTAAAGCTTCGAACTGGCAACAAACTGAGAAAAAGCCTCAAAAAATTTGAATACAGACACATTAAGAACGAGAAATTTATGTTACTAATAAACAACCTTCTTTAAAAAAAAAACTGAAACAATCCGTCTCTCACAGTCCACTGCTGGACATAGGTCTCTCCCATTGCACGCCACTTCGATCGATTTTCGGCTTCTCGCAACCAACTCAAATATTTTGTTTAATGTATTTCTTAAAATCTGATACAGTAAATTCATGCACATTACTAAGCAGTATATTCTAGGTACATACTAGCTTTTATAACAGTATTAAGAATTCTAACGAATGTATTGTAACAAATCGTCCAGAGCTTGCTACAAGGACTGGGAAATAGATGATCTGAAGCCTATAATCTGGGATGACCTTCATCGCATCCACCCTGAACAGCGAGTCATGGATTTGGCGCAGCGAGCATGTTGGGGTGGACCTTTAAGCAACTCTATGTTTTGCGAGTATGAGAGAATAGACACTATGGTTGGGGAAAACCTACTCAGTTTTGCTAATAGGAATATGAGGACTAATTGCTGCACTGTGGCTAGTGTAGGGGTGCCATTTGAAGAAACTTTAAAAGTAGCTGAAATGGTTGAGAGTAGACGGGTAAGTGTGTGTACTTTGACTCTATCAGACTTAAAATTTGAAGTGTTTTGCAAGTAAACACTGGTAAATTAACTATTTGTTTTGGAAAACTGAATCTTAGTTCCATAGCATTTAGACCAAAAAATATCCAAGACTACATCGAAAAACTATATTTTTTTTCACAAGTCGACTGAGATTGACATGTAATAGTATAATAGACACATACGGGGTAATTACCCCAAAGCAATTGCTTTCCTGCAATATGTGTATAAATAAATAATAGTTTTGGTACGTTAAGCAATTTAAAAATAATGTTCTTAAGTAATATAGTCACTGTTAATCACACAAATCCTAGCAATGTGATTATTTCGTGAATGTTAACATTTTTATATTAATTATTTAATTAAACCCAGGACTTGCCGCCAGAAAGACCTTGTGTGCAATCCTTTCCACGACGAGGTTATGAAGTGTATGACTTAGGCCCTAACAGTGCCACGTGGATAGCTGTAGTCGTTCCTGGCTGTGGAACCACGGACATAAGGTAAACTAGATAAGGCTTGAATATCGCAAGAAAGTCTTAAAAATTAATCATCTAAAGAAACAGTTTTCCAGGTGCTTGACCAAGCATGCAATCGTAGCAGCGGCCTGCGGTACAGGCAACATGGCAATGAGTAATCACAGTATGGACAGTACTCCTCAGACTCCCCTTGGCCTTATGTCGGGAGGAGACGTATACACGAGTTACAAGGCTTTCAACATTTCATACAACGACACTGGCGTTTTTGGTAAGACTAAATTTACTATTGTATTTTTGCACCTACCGCATCATATTTCTATATCACCTGAAGGTGGACTAGGAGAGAATGCCTCATGGCATTAAGTCCGCCTTTGTACAACGTGTGCGTTAAGTTTTAAATAAATAAATAAATTGAAATCTGTGCTTGATTGCTTGATTTGATGGAGGCTTTTTTAAGTCTCTTTATAGACCTGTAGTAGAAAAGAATACATAAATCTTTGTCATAAGTTAAAAACATTACGAGTTAAAGTGTAAGAGAGCTGGAGAATTTTAAAACTGTAGAGAAATAACACTTTTCTAGTATGAAGTGTGTTCGTTATGTGTCAACCTGTGAGCAGTTTTTCATGATTTTTTTATGTATGCCTAGATTTGGTCGTCCTTCTGCATCCTAGCTAGCTTCCCCTACTAATCTCAAATGAGATTTTTACCTATGCTTGATTGCGTGACTAAGACGTAAAGTGAGTAGTCTAGAATAATAGAAAAATAATCTAACATTATACCGTGTGGTGACGGATTAAGAATACAGAGTGTCACCCCCTATTCATCCCGTGGGTGTCGTAAGAGCTGATTAAGGGAGAAAAATAAGCAAGACAACAGCACTGCAAAGAGAAGGAAAACTTAAAACAAACCCTATACCAACCTGTCTGGCCAGCATGGTATAGTAGGCCAAAACCTCCATTGTAAAGAGAGACCTATGTCCAGCAGTGGGCCAGACGGGTTAGTGTAGGGTTTGTGTCAAGTATTCCTTCTCTTTGCATTGCTGGTTGTCCTGCGTTAGCTCCCTTAGTCGCCTCTTTGACACCCACGGGATGAATAGGTTTGGTGACACTTCGTTTTCTTAATCCGTCACCACACGGACGAAATATTAATGAATTATTTTAAAATAAGGGATCCTGGCGAAGACACGCCCAGTATCGGCTTGGAACGTCGCTATGGCAGCGTCGGAGTTTTTGGCCAACGTTGGGGACCTTAACTTTAAGCAAATTGAAATTGGAAAGCAAAGACTGAGTTAGTATCCAACAAATTTCTGGAAAAAGTAAATGAGATGTTGACCGTTGGTTTTTATTCCCGGTAAAATCCATTAGGTATGGCTCAAATTACACTAATATAAAGCAGCCAAAACTAAGAGTTGGCAATGAGTTAGATAACAATTTTTAAAGCTTAAATAAAAAAAAAGATATTTTAAGCTTGTAGATATTTTAATTGGAGGATGACAATACTAAATATAGGTCCTTTATATTTCTTATTCACAAGATAAATCATTAGTAGCTAACGATTTTCGCCTGAACATGACTTAGTATATCAATTTCTCTATATTTAAGGAATCTGACAATTCTTCATAGCATAGGTATTCAAAGTGAACATAACTGCCATCCATATGTCACGGGTGACGCGTCAGAGACAGAGACAATTGTTAAACCTGTCATTTTATTTTTATTGGGCATCGGTAACAAAAGTTTTGTTAGTAGTCGTATTTTTGGAAATCATCTTTATTTTCATCTTTAGGATGATTTCTAAAAATTGCATTCAAAATTTGGTTCATCACTGCTGGAATTTTTCAAGAATAATAAACCATATCTATACACCGCTTTTGTGTTTTATTAGTTTAATGTTGAATTTTTCCTGTGATTAGCATCTTAGCATATCTAATAAATTTAGGTTTATTTGCTTTTCAAATTCATTTTTTCAGAACTAGGCATAGCACTTAACGACGAAGACTGCGTTAAATTAGGGGAAGGCGTGGCTCTCCAGCTGGCCAATAATGTGCAAATGGACAATGCCAAAGATGCCATGGCGTTAGTTGACTCCATAACACCGGACGAAATATCATGTGTGGCCAAATTTCTGGCTGCCAAAAGTAAGTAAAATGCGAGATACAATTTCGAAACTCAATATGTTGTGGTACGTAGAACAAAATGGGTTAATACTTGTAACCGTCCTTGATACTAAAGGCAGAACATATAATAAGGAAATACCTTCATTTCACGAAAACTTGCTATTAGACAACACAACTAAAGTAATAGCAAGTAGCTCACTGTCATAATAAATGCGTGTCATAATATTTAGCGCTTCTAAGTAGGTTAACCCGTTTGTAAAAGTCTTGCAACGTTGTCTTGAAGAAAATCTCAGAATACGAATCTATGAATCCGGCACGCAGTGTTCCTGTTTACAAAATAAGTTGTAGAAATGTTATTGATACATCCTATTTTCTTTAACTTACCGTAATAAACTTAGCGGTACCTCAGAATGTTACTTCAGTAAAAGTAACCGGCAAAATAAACGGTTATTTGGCCCTACCTAGTATCTATTTGAATTTTTTGTAGGTACCTATGTACTCTTCTTTGGCCTCGCCTTGTCCCGTTACACGGGGTTGGTTTTCCCAATCACGCGGCGCCATTTGCTTCGGTTTTCCGCATTTTCTTCCTTAAGGCCTATCTCCTTCATATCCTTACGGACATTCGTCAGCCATGTGGTTTGGGGTCTTCCTCTCCCCTTCTTCTTTTCAGCAATGGAAAGACACTTCTTCACGACATGGTCTTCCGGTCTTCTAAGCACGTGACCGTACCATCTTAGTCTGGACTCTTTTACCTTGTCTGCTATTTGTGCAACCCCAAAACTACCTCTCACATACTCATTTCGGACCTTATCTTTCAGTGTGACTCCTCCTGCCCATCTCAGCATACGCATTTCTGTTGTGTGTAGTTTCTGTTCATGAGTCTTTTTCATTGCCCAGGCTTCACTGCCATACAGGAGTGCCGGTCTAACAGCTGTCTTGTAGACCTTACCTTTAGTTTTTATAGGCATTTTCCTATCACATAAAACTCCAGTCAGCGTGCGCCACTTAGTCCAGCCCGACATTATTCTGTGCGATATATCCGCTTCAATAGATCCATCTTCTGAAAGTACTGATCCTGATGAACAGTTTTATGAATTTTGCGAATTTTATTTTCATGAACAGCACCTACGAAAGCACTGAATATGACTCTGGCTGTCTCAAGGCAAAACTGTCGTATAACGTAATGAATTTAAACAACCATTTTGTGATGCTATTTACAGCTATTTTTTTAACAACTTTATATGAAATTGCTATCGTAAATGGCATAAACTTAAGCATATTTAGAGCAATTTTAGATAAGAAACTATTATCCTCAGAAAATGACATGGCGCTGGCAGTAGTCGGTGACATCAGCTGTGTTCCACATGACCGTGAGTTGATTCGCTAGAGTGACACCCAATCTAACCTCCATTGGTCTTAGTTAGACTAGAAGAACGTCCAAAGAATGGTCGAATTAAGCCAAAAAACTAACTTAAGCTAACTTTGTTCTTGGCAAAAGTAGGTAGGCACCTATTGTCTCACTTAAAGGTGTAGTGCTTTAAAGTGGAAATTTAAGCTTAATTTTATACCACCAATGTATTTAGAGGATAACATTGGAGACTGAACTGGATCATTTAATTATAAATCTTTCGATAAAGTTTCTACTTTAAGATACTTGTTTTTATTTAACCTTTACCCAACCTTACTCTATAATCTAATCTATAAATTAAGATATCCGAAAATTACGTATTGTGGTACAACGCGCATTCTTAAGTAATCTATACTTAAGAATGCGCGTTTTGCCACAATACGTAATTTTAATCAAGATCATCATCAGCCTATCGCAGTCCACTGCTGGACATAGGCCTCTCCCATTGCACGCCACTTGGATCGATTTAGGGCTTCTCGCATCCAGCTCCTGCCAGCCATCTTGCGCAAATTGTCACTTAACCACGCTTTTGTCCTATGATGTGGATAAAAACTGTAAATTTTTTGACTAAGGTCTATACCTTAGTCAAAAACACAGTCACAGTTACAAACTCTATAGTTTGTGAAGTTAGGGCATGTAGAGTTAGAAATTTGGCTCTACATGAGATCTGAAAATTTTTTGACAGTGCGAACCATATGGTCTCGTCTTGGCAACAATTTACATGAAAATGTTTTTGATGGGATTTCACTTATATCTGTAGCATCAAAATTTGTACTGTACTTGTACTGTAGAAACGCGGCTTCAAAATAAAACTTACATTTAAGATTTAAAGCCAAAAGCCATATGCTCCATAACCTGCGTCTTGAATACATCATAGTCTTATCTATGGCGTACATAATGTACACTTCAAACAATCCAGAGATAACACATATTTAGGATTTTTGAACAGATAAGAGAGATACGAAGCTTGTTGACTTTCGATCTAAAGGATAGTTCTGTGTGTGTAGACAAACATTTCGAGGACTAATATCTCATTATAACCCCCTATTATAAGGGCTGTAATTAGGTATTATTAAGTTTGTTGCATAGGATTTTCTTTGACAGAAATCCATTTTGTAATTTCAAAGCAAGCGTGTTTAGTACTTTTGTTTCACTGCAGGTAGATACAACAACTTGATATATTTGGTCCCTCGATCCCAGCCCCCCCTAAGAATATGGTTAAATAATAAGCAAAGGGTCATTCGAGGTCTAAGGTACATTTAATTAAATTTTTTTATGGAAGAGGGAGCAAATGAGCAGACGGATCACCTGACGGAAAGTGACTACCGCCGCCAATGAACGCCTGCGTTGCCGGCTTTTGAGGAAGAGTATGAGGAGACTGAGGAAGAAGCCGTAGGTAAGAGCTACTGTTTATATGTTTGCATGCTCACGTGTTCATACCTATCAACCCTAATCCTTTTTTGAAAAAAAACAAACGACCTTACCGTCGTTCTTAGATTATTTATAATGTCTAGATAGAGCATCTCGGTGCAAAAGACCAAAAAGAAGTAAGCCGAGTTTTTACTGTTTTTAATATTAGTGTACGTCAGAGTTTCGTCTTACACTCACGTCAAGTTATTCCACTTTCTTAGTATGCGTGCATAAATGTTAAAAAAATCATTAAAATAGAGAAAAATCATAAAACTAGATTGACTGAATGAATACTTATACAGGTACTTTTTTTGGAAATCTGTACTTATTTTATTGGAAACAAACAAATATTTGTAGATCGTACAAACATTTTGTCAAATGCAGGAATCGAACACGAGACCTTTGCACAGCAAACAAACGCTTCCACTTCTACACTATCACAGTCAACGTCAATCCATGAATTATACTATATAAAATTACCAAAAGTATTCACTTTAAAATTAAAACCCTTTAAATGATATCCATTTAAATTTTATCGATTTTCACAACGTGTTCGTATCCCATGACAGTACTGCTAGTGCTGACATTTAAAGCGGGTAAAGCATTTAGAGGCCAATAGTTGGAAGCTGTTTTTGAAGTAATAACTTCTTATGGGAGCGTAAACCGCTTCGTTACGTAACGCGTTACGGCGCCAGTCTGTCTGGCTTCCCTTTCTCCCACGCATACGGCAGCGGTACGCAGGCTCCTCCTCTCTCACTCTAACCCACATCGCTAGCCGTATTTCGGACAGACGCTTTACATAAAATTTAAGTATTAACTATACAGTCATAGTATGTAATTAATGAAATAATAATGGTTAAGAAATGTCAAATGAGTAAATTATTTGTAATTAATAACAGTTCGAACAGTGCAGTCCAAATTTTATAGTAAAAATCTTTTCACGTTGGAATCTATTGTTTACTCTTTTTAACTACCGCATATGGTAACATTGCACAACATGTCAAGTTAACAGATTAACTTGTCAACCTAAATGAAAGCTAAAGATTTGTGAGGACTTAAATTTGTCCTAAAAGGTCTAAAAATACACTTTAAATAAATTATGTAATATTTTTATAAAATAGAAGAGCATTAACATGATGAACTCTCTTCATAACACTATAAAACGTATGTATTATTTATTTTGGAGGTTATGACGGTTTTGAAAATAAAATTCTACTTTACTTTGTCATTATTTACAGAATTTCGCATGTTGAATATCAAAACAGCATTAAAAACTGTATCAGAATGTCAAACTAAACCCATAAATGTATTAAGAAAAGAAAATGATTTAATAACGAGCATGAAGATGCTTTCGTTGTCGCCAAGGAGTGTTGGTATAGAAATTTCTGAAAAATCAATCTGGCAACCGACTACAACGGGTATCAAACAAGATCCTATCCCGTATATACCTATCGTCAACCCTCGCTCAATCTTACCTCTACTTGACAAAGAATGGACTAAGGATGAGATTGGCTTGCCTGCAATCCAACAAGAAGAAATACGGGCAGAGAGGCTGATTGTTATCAGAAGAAAGAAAATGAAGAAACATCAGAGAAAGAAGCTTTGGAAGAAAATGAGACATCGCTGGGCTAGGGTTTGTATTCATCTATTTAATTAAATTTTGTTAATTGTAACAGGTAAAGCTTTAAGTATCCGTGTGCAGACGGATAAAGGATATGGAATGTCGCCACCCCTGTTCATCCCGTGGGTGTCATAGGAGCCGACTAAGGGAACAAACTATGCAGGACAACAGCACTGCAAAGAGAAGGAAAACTTGAAACAAACCCTTTTTTTTTTTTTTTTTTTTTAAACCCTATATCAACCCCTCTGGCCAATATGGTATAGAAGGCTAAAACCTTCTTTCTAAGGAGGGGCCTATGTCTAGCAGTGGACTATAAAAGGTTGTTCTTGAAGCTTTTGCAAGAATCTAATTTTAACTGTATATTATTATTTTAATTCTGTCATAGTCACATTAGCTTGTGATATTGTTTGTTTGCCCTTTCTTCTCATAAGGCTCAACCCCTTGGAAACAGGCGGTTGTAGATCTGCACAGGCATATCATAGATTTCGTATGGGTTTGATTTTTGTTAAATTTATTTGGTTACTATTTGACAAAACAGAGATTGTTGCTTTTGTTTGTGTTGATCTATGACTTTAGAGTCTACATGGAAGATGATTTCAAATAATTTTGGAAATTTTATGAAATAAAGAAAGTTTGATACATATTTTGACTGTGTCAACTTATGTAGGTTTAATTGCGTGTTGAGCCTGATGATATTATTTGTTTGAGTTTTAGTCTCCATAGTAATAATAATTTAACCCTTATAAATACCTGACTTCAATACACCCATAGTCTACCTACATTCCGTAATTTAGCATCCTTAGGAATGAAATTTTTGACCTTTCAAATCCATACTTATATTATTAATGTGAAAATGAGTTAGTTTGTTACACTTTCACACATTTAATTACACTAAACTGATTTTTGATACCACGGCCTCACCGAAAACCTGTGTTAATCTATTCTTTCGTTGCTTTTCACTGAATGAGTGAGGTTACCGGAGGCCAAATCCCTCGAGACTCCAAGGGCGGCAACACACTTGTGACTTTTGAGTTGTTTACTTAGTAGTTGCTTATCATCACATGACCCGTCTGTTAGTTAGTCCCCTTATAACATAAAAAAAACATGGTCACCATGTCAAAGTATGTAAGTGCAAGTGTTATATGCAATAACAAAATGCTATAATATTTATGTTAAAATGGTTACCTACATAATAGCAATAGGACTTTATAATAATAATAAAATCAGTTTTACACATCTCACACACGGCACTAATCCCAAACTAGCCCTGATAACTAAACTGCTGATAAACACATTTATATATTTTAAATACACACACATTATAGATAAAATTACATCCAGACATAGAACAAATAACTGTTCTCATCACACAATATTTGTCCTGGGTGGGAATCATATCAACGAACCAGCTGGCCCATATACATTTATGTTTGTCATGTTACAAAAGTGTGTACAAGTCATACGGGTCAATTTAATAAAACAAGATTTAAACAGTTGTACTTCAACTTCAATCTCCGGATTATATGAAGGGGAATAGATTTATTTATTTATAACTTTATGCACTGTTGTACATCCGCAGACTTAATGCCCAAGGCATTCTCTACCAGTCAACTTTTAATTAGTGTAGAAATCGTGAGGTTATAACACTATATAGGTTATAACACTTATCTAAACTAATATTATAAAGCTGAAGAGTTTGTTTATTTGTTTGTTTGTTTGAACGCGCTAATCTCAGGAACTACTGGTCCGATTTGAAAAATTATTTCAGTGTTAGATAGTCCATTTATCGAGGAAGGCTATAGGCTATATATCATCACGCTAAGACCAATAGGAGCGGAGCACCAATGAAGAATGTTTCAAAAACGGAGAAAATTTATTACTATTGAGAGACGCAGACGAAGTTGCGCGGGTCAGCTAGTCACTAAGATATACCCAATCTTTACAAATAAATAAAATTGAGGTGTCTGTTTGTAATGTCAAAATAATAGGTTTTTTCATGCTCACATGTTTATTTGCACGATAACTATGCCTGAAAATCATTTTAAATACTTTTATCTGTCTGTTTGTTCCGGGTAATCTTCAAAAGGTCTGGACCGATTATGATTATATTTTACTACCAAGTAGCTGTTTATATAAGAAGTTACTTAGGCTATTTTTCCTCTGAAAAACCCTATGAAGTTTTGCCAGGTCTGAGAATCGAACCCGATATCACCACTAAGGCAGCGCTCTCCGTATGCTACGCGAACGAAGTCGCCGGTACCAGCTAGTACTAAATATTACTATCAGACTAATATTTATTCTATTTCCTTGCTTACAGGTGAAGCAGCAACGTCGTCAAACAAAAGAGAAAACATTTCAAAACTCATTGCTGGCTATGATCAAAACGGCCAATGATTTCCAAGCAGAGGAATATGTAGCCAACAAGCTGCAAAAGGCCAACCACACACCGTTACCAACACGTTGGAGGCACAAGCGGTTACCAGAGTTTATTATCCGCCAACTTCTTGGCATAGACAAGAAGATCAATTATAAACACACTGATGTATACAAAGCTTAATATAGTTTGTTGAAGGAATAAATTAGTATAAATAGAGTGTTTTTAAATATTTGTATGTGTTTATCTTTGTTACCATGTCATTGCATGTTTGCTTGACAGAACTACAAATTGAATAGGTATACTATATTAGGGGGGAGCGACTTGTGACTAGGATTGCCGGTGTACATGAGCATCACTGTCTTTACCTTGAAAAAAAAACAAAAAAAATATATTTTTTTTACACTAGGATATCCGGCACCTGTCTGTTTGTTGATCTGTCAATAAATTAATTCGAATTAGTTTCATTGCGAATAAAGATTCGTAACATTTTTAACTATACTGCACTTTGTTTCGAGTGTTGATGTCCCGTCTAAGTAGCATCTCTAATCACGTTCACCGGCCAATAATTAAAATAAGATGGCAGGTCCTAATTGTGTCCTAATGTTCTAAAAGATTCATATAATGACTGGATATTAGTATTAAAATGAGTGTATTAAAGTGTACCAAATTATCGCCGTTAATATTTCTGGACCGACACCTCCAAACCTTCAAGAAAAGAGCTCTTACCCCAAAGGCCGGGAAAGTAGGTTTTGGCCTACTATACCACGCTGGCCAGACGGGTTGATATAGGGTTTGTTTGTTTATCCCGCTTTCCGCGGTGGGCTGTTGCCAGACTGAACCGGGACCTACTAGAGGAGGCAGCCATAATTCACTCGTGGCTGTCTCCTCAGGCTCCGACCGAGGAGGTCGACGTGGGGGCTGGTCGCTTTCGCCACGGTACTATTATAATACAGTAGTGTAACTTGGCCGCATGATAGAAATAAATGCCTACAGCCGCGCGGTACGTAAACATGCGTTAGGGCTGCCCGTCTCCAGCATTTTAATTATATTTGCCTACTTTCTGTTTCTATTTAGATTTGTGATTGTAAATATCCTTTTTATATAAATAAATGAAATACTTTGTATATTGAATAGGAAGTGTTCAATAAAAATGCGTGTTGTTTTTTGATTGGTAGATTTAATTATTTTATTTTCTTTCTGCATTGGAGGAGTTTTTAGTGGTATATGTTGTTATAGTAGCAGCAGAAACACTTTGTGAAAATTTCGAAAACTATCTAATGACACACAGACGGTAAAATTTTTTTTCTAGTATTATTCATACACACAGATAATAAACAAATATTATTAAAAATTAAATACCACGTCTTTACTTTGAATTATGCAAAGTAACAAAACACACATGCACCGAAGTTTTAACACAAGCGTAAGTAGGTAGGTACCTACCGTATCATGATTCATTCAGAACCTCATATAACTACCTATTTCACTCGTCTCAATAACTTTCCGTTACTCTATTCGCTTTATTAATTAATCCAAACACCTTTTTTTTCGTAAGATAAAAGGAAATAATTATCCATAAAAAAGACACACATTATGTACCTACCTACTAGTAAGTAAAATTATTTTATAGTCTTACCTTTCAGAGTTTCCAGGTAATTTAAAAAAGCCTTATGTCTGGATGCGTTATTGACGAATTCATACAACCAAAAACAGCACAATATTATTATTTCCTACTCGTTAATATGTAACTGATTTTTAGAGAAAAAAAAATCGCGCGGTTATTGTTAAAAAAAAACAACACACCGTCAGTTCGACACTGCGGTACAGCCATGACTGTCTGCGCCCCGAGCGCACCCCGAGATCGAGGCGCGTAGGTATAGCTCGCGTTTCGTCCGTTTGTATGAAGTTGGAGTACTGTATTATAATTGTACCGTGCTTTCGCGATGCGATTACGCATATCTGCGATGCGGCCATGCCTCGCATTCGAGGTCGTCGGCCTCCAAGGAAGGAGGTCTACTGGTGGTCCCAGGAGCTGGCGGACCTCCGTGCGGCCTGTACACGTGCCCGGAGGTCCTACACGCGCAGTCGGCGGCGTCACCGTGGAGACGGTGAGGAGGACCGGCTTCATGAGGAGTACCGACGGGCGCGGAAAACTCTGAAGCTGGCCATTAGCCGCGCCAAAGAAGAAAAGAGACAGGAGATGCTGGAGGGTCTTAATCGTGACCCCTGGGGTCGCCCTTACCGCGCGGTGCGACAAAAGCTCCGCGCGTCGGGCCCCCCCCCTTACGGAGACTCTCCAGCCCAGCTTCCTGCGAGAAGTGGTTGAGGGCCTTTTCCCACAACGAGCGGAACACACTCCCCCGTCGATGGCCTCCCTGGCCGGAGACGACGGGGAGGATAATGTTCCGCCCGTCCGGGATTCGGAGGTAGGGGCGGCTGTTCTACGGATCCGTTCCAAGAACACCGCCCCTGGGCCAGACGGGGTACCGGCCCGAGTGCTGGCCCTGGCCCTCAACCACATGGCAGACTGCCTCGGGGAGGTGTTCGACGCTAGCTTGGCGTCGGGACGCTTCCCTGAGTGCTGGAAGAGCGGGAAGCTGGTCCTATTGAGGAAGCCGGGACGGCCTGCCGATTCGGTCGCGGCCTATAGGCCCATCGTGCTGCTGGACGAGGCGGGCAAATTGTTTGAGAGGGTTCTTTCTGCCCGCATCGTCCGGCACCTCTGCGAGGTGGGCCCCGATCTGTCGGACGCCCAATTTGGTTTTCGGGCGGGGCGTTCGACAGTCGACGCCGTGTTGCGCCTGAGGGCCGTGACCGAAGAGGCCGTGAGCTGTGGCGGCGTGCTGTTGGCGGTGTCATTAGACATCGCCAACGCATTCAATAGTCTGCCATTCAGCTGCATCAGGGAAGCACTCCACTATCATGGGGTGCCAAAGTACCTGAGGCGGCTGGTGGCAGACTATTTAGAGGAGCGTACCGTCGTGTACGAGGACCGAGAAGGTAATCTGAGGTGTCGGCCCATGTCGTGCGGTGTTCCACAGGGGTCTGTTCTTGGACCCCTCTTGTGGAACATAGGGTACGACTGGGCCCTTCGCGCCGATTTCCCCCCCGGGCTGGGTGTAATCTGTTACGCAGACGATACCCTGGTGACAGCCCGGGGGGCAAACTTCTAAGAGGCGGCGCGCCTGGCCACAGGGGGAGTCTCCCTGGTGGTCGGGCGCATTGAGGCGCTGGGCTTACGGGTGGCCCTAGATAAGACGGAGGCCCTGTTATTTCATGGGCCCCGTCGTGGTCCACCCCCTGGCGCCTCAATCGTGGTCAACTCGGTCCTCGTACCGGTTCGGGCCCAGATGAAATATCTGGGCCTGATCCTCGACGGGAGGTGGCTCTTCGACGAGCACTTCCGACAGCTTGCTCCAAAGCTGGTCGGCGCTGCGTCTGCCCTAGGGCGACTTTTGCCCAATATGGGTGGACCCAGCGTCGCGACAAGACGGCTGTACACGGGGGTTGTCCGGTCAATGGCACTGTACGGTGCACCGGTGTGGGCGGCGGCTCTGACCGCCCAGAATAGGGTACGCCTCTGGCGCCCTCAGAGGGTAATGGCGGTCAGAGCCATACGCGGTTACCGCACCGTTTCGACGGAGGTGGCATGCGCGTTGGCCGGAACTCCCCCGTGGGATTTGGAGGCGGAAGTGCTCGCCGAAGTTTATCGGCGAGTGGCTGACTCCCGGGCGGAGAGCGGATTTCGCCCTCCGCCCGAGGATGTGCGCGAGTGGCGCGAAGCCGCTCGCCGAGCCACGATGGCTCGTTGGTCGTTCCGGCTGGAGACTCCACGAGCTGGCTTCGCCGCCGTGGAGGCTCTCCAGCCGGTCATCGCCGAGTGGGCAGGGCGGCAGCACGGGACCCTTTCCTTCCGGCTGACGCAGGTGCTTTCCGGGCACGGTTGCTTCGGAAAGTACCTGCACACGGTCGCTAGGAGGGAACTGAGTCCCGCCTGCCACCACTGCGACTGCAGTGAGGACTCGGCCCAGCACACGCTGGCGGTCTGCCCCGCATGGGCGGCGCAGCGCCGGGCCCTCACTGCAGTCATCGGAGTGGATCTCTCGCTACCGGCCGTAGTACGCTCCATGGCCGGTAGCGACAGTTGTTTTACCGCGGTCGCAACCTTCTGCGAGGTAGTAATCTCGCGGAAGGAGGCGGCGGAGAGGGCCCGGGAGGACGACCTCCACTCGGACCCGATCCGCCGCCGGCGAACCGGGCGGCGGAGGCCCGCCTATCACAGCCTCATGCCGCCCTGAGTGTGGCCGCGGGTGGACGGGGTGGGTTTCCCCTCCACCCGCATTAGTTTGGCCAGCCGCGAGGGGGCGGCGTCCGCGTGTGCCGGACGTCGCCTAAAGAGAGGAAAAATATACTGAGACGGAGCCCGCACCAGGAGCGGGCTGGCGCTAGGAGGGGTCCGGATGTCTTAACAACAGCTGTTCCCGGATCCCTCCTGTTACAGGCGCAGAGTGGCACACCGTGTGGTTTTAGTCGGTCCGAGTCCGACACACCACCCCGCCGCAAACCCCGGAGGGGTGACGGTCCGAGGGGATTTCCACACGTTAAAAAAAAAAAAAAAAAGGGTTTGTTTGTTTGTTTTATCGGCTCGAGTTGGGTTTCCAGTTACCATCATGTAATTTGTCTGCTCGCTTGTATATTATAAAAAGGCAGTAAGTACGTATTACTCTGAAACCACAAGGTCATCATCGTATTGCCGTAGCAGTGAACAATAGATGAGTCAAGGCATTTCAAAATAGTTTACAAATATAAGGGATTCATAAAAACAAACCAATGCACATCCTTGGTCCCTCCCCGAAAGGCAGGAACGTCAACATTTTCTGGTAGGAACCAGTCAGGATCGAATACCATGGGGTCAGGGAAGTACTGCGGATCCAGCTGCATACCCGCGGCATTGATGTAAACGGGTGTGCCAGCAGGAATTGTTAAGTGTTTGTCTATTTGATAGTCTTTTGTAGCGACATGATCCAACCACCCCATTACAGGATAGATTCTGAGCGTTTCTTGATTGGAGAATATCATTGATCATGAGTAGGTATTTGAACATATAATTTCCAAAACATTGATTTGACCCAACTTAAGATTCTTTTATTATGTTATGCATTGTATTTATTTTATATACGATGATTTTATACTAGTTTATATACGAGTAATATAATTGTCAATGTTGTTACTTCTCTTATCATTGAGTTCGAAGATTATTTCTCATCCTAAGTGGTTTATAAAGTTATGATGTGGTTATGAAGTGGTAAAGTTATGATGATGATTCAAAACTCACATCTCAATTTTGCTGCTTAAAAGTATTACGTTTTATTTTACTTAATGGATTTTAATCACATCTCAATTTTGCTGCTTAAAAGTATTACGTTTTATTTTACTTAATGGATTTTAATCACATCTCAATTTTGCTGCTTAAAAGTATTACGTTTTATTTTACTTAATGGATTTTAATCACATCTCAATTTTGCTGCTTAAAAGTATTACGTTTTATTTTACTTAATGGATTTTAATCACATCTCAATTTTGCTGCTTAAAAGTATTACGTTTTATTTTACTTAATGGATTTTAATCACATCTCAATTTTGCTGCTTAAAAGTATTATGTTTTATTTTACTTAATGGATTTTAATCACATCTCAATTTTGCTGCTTAAAAGTATTACGTTTTATTTTACTTAATGGATTTTAATCACATCTCAATTTTGCTGCTTAAAAGTATTACGTTTTATTTTACTTAATGGATTTTAATCACATCTCAATTTTGCTGCTTAAAAGTATTACGTTTTATTTTACTTAATGGATTTTAATCACATCTCAATTTTGCTGCTTAAAAGTATTACGTTTTATTTTACTTAATGGATTTTATTACGCATGACGCATGCATTGCTTGACGTCAAGCCATAAATTTTATACATTTATATTTGAAATACACTCGAGACCAATTGTGGTTCGGATTGTGGTCGAGTGCCTATGTATTATCCAGCATGAGGGCTGGATCTAATCCCAATCAAGGGTGAAAAGTTTCTCATTGTTGAACATCATATGAAAAGTTTGGTTAACCGCAATAATAATAGCGCGTAGAGTTAATACAAAATAAGTAAGCTTTGGATGAGATAGGTATCTTTTCATTATTCAAATATTTATGAACATCATACAAATTGTGATTTTTTTGTTACATTTAAGTAGTATTATTTTTTATTTTCTTGTATTTTTTTGTTTCCCCAATCTATTTGTTCACAGCAACTTTTGTTAGTTTGTAACTAGAAGTGAAAACTGGTAATTGGCTCTCAGATTATATCATTATCAGATTATATTATTATATCATTCTTATATATATATATATATATATATTTCCTATAATTTAGTATAATTTAGTAATAGATGTCCGAATCCTAGATTTATTAGGGTCTAATATAGAAAATGTTCGTAGCTTCGATAAAAACCTACACAGTGGAATCCCAATACGTACCTAGATATCGTACCGTAATCGTACCTTTAATGATACATTCGAGGTAAGTAAGCGCTGATAGGGTGGGGATAGGGTGGGATCGAAATCTTGATAACCGTTCTTCTTTTTGGCATTCAAAATCTCTTTGTACAATCTTTGCTGTAAAACACAACGATATATAATATTTATTCTACAGGTTAAAACTTAATTTAGAATTAAAAATAGATTTATCTGTCCAAGTTACTGGACTACCTAATTACTGCTTCAATATTTCAGTCTAGTCAAGTCTGGACTCCGACCAGAATGTAGATAACCTAAAGGTTTATTCAATTATTTGGATAAAACTATCATGATTTCCTATAGAGGCATTTCAAATACAAATTCAAAAGGTTTCCTCCAACGGTAAATCAATCTAAATCTTAAGATTTTCTTATAAATCCTAGAATAATGACCAGGATCAGTAATAAAATTGCAGGGATCATCTTTAATTAGGCACTTTTCCCCATCAAGTTTTTCTTTAGTCTGTACATCAACACAAGTCTTAGCAAGCAAATCTAATTTTGAAACTTAATCCAAAAGGTAAATTAAATTAACATTTATCAAAGTCTCTATAGCCTTTCGCCTTTTGGTGTCTATTTGACAAAATACATTTCTTAAATTGTTGTGTTACGCCATTTTATCATTATTGTGTACTAGTTTCCGCCCGCAGGTTCACTTTCGATCCGTAAAATTAAAAAGTAAGTTATATCTACTAAGGATATTCTCAATTTACTGTATGTTACATTACTTTAATCTCCATGTTATATGAGTATCTCTGCTGGTTTACGCGGCGTATGAGAGTAAAACTCCGAGTAGGCATTTTGTTTGCGACCTCTTCAACAGTAATCGTTATATATTTCAATCGATTTATATAAAAACATAATGAATTATACACCTAAAAATACCTCACCAATCATACTATCTATTATTAATATTATTTTAACGGGAATTAACGCGATCTATTATTTAGGGTATTACATACCTCTGGTTTGCCTGACGTTTCGACCAGGTTGCACCGGCCGTGGTCACAGGCTGACTGGCTCATCGGCGCACGCCCTCCGTCGTCGAATCCGTGAAGTAGAAGGCTCTTCATCTACCCGCACATTTTCGATATTGTTGTTGTTTTTGTGTCGCCATGTACCGTCACATACCACACTAACAGTGTCCCTATTCTGTAAGCAAACCGATGAGTCCCTATTCTGGTGTTTAACCGATTGCGCAGAAAAGCGAGGTGGTGTGTTTTTTAACACTGGATTCCACGCTGTAGATAATTTAAAACCATCCTCCCGATTGAAAGTTTTATGCTTTTAAATCTCAATCGCTTCACGTACAACTCTTGAGGAAAAGTGACGTTCGGTGGAGAGGACTTGATTCAATCCAGTGGTTGATGCCTGCATCGAGTGCATGTTCTGCAATCGCTGATTTGCTCTTCTGTCGGTTCTTCACAGCAGCGATATGCTCTGACCCATTCTGCAATAGTCCGCTTAGTTTGACCTATGTATGAGCTTCCGCAGCTGCAGTCTATTTTATAGACACCCGGAGTTTTTAGTGGCAATATATCCTTCGGTGTGCCGACGATGTTGTGAACCTTTATGCTATCTATTGGTGAAAACGGTAAAGAATCCTTTCGGTAGTTTTTAAGTTACCGCTTTCATATAGACAGATAGACGCGGCCGGGGGACTTCATTTTATAATATGTAAGGATTGTTTAAGATGTGGGTAATATTTAAAACGTATAGATTTTTAACCTGACATTCTGGATCCCAAATCAGCCTGTAAATGATCCAGCTCATACTTGCAGCTGTCGAATCGAATCCGCCGACCAGGAAGGCCGTCACTTGAGCATCTCATCATCATCAGAAAATCTTCAGTCGATTCTGTGGAAAAAGAGTAATGGGGTATTTGATACTCAGATGTGGTCATTATTATATAGCCTTAGGTATAATATCTTATGAATTTACATTTCTTTCTACGTTATAATTATTTTGTTAAAGGAAAGCATTTTTTCTATAAGTTCTTTGATAAAAATGTTAGTTTCCTTTCAGCCGCCGACACAAATTACTTTTTCACAGATCGAGGAGTCAGAGTATTTGTAATGCCTGTTTAGTAATTAAGATGAATGAGAACTACTGTATTTTTAAATTAGTAGTTGTAGTAAGTCGTAATGTATCATATATATATATACATATCTTTCTTTTTTTATCGTATGGAAACTCCCACGGATTATCTTCTTACCCGGAGCTCACAGTGAAGATTTCGGAATTGAATCCATTAAAATCACACTGTGTTCTGTCACATGTGAGTCAATTGCATAGTGTCCTACTTTCGGTTTAGAAAGGTGGGCGCGGGATACTTCACGCCACCTTCTCAGGCCTATTTCTTCAAAGGTAACGGACAGTATACCGTCACTTCAGGACTATGCAGTATACAGCAGATGTTGTTTGAAGCAAGTCTCAGAAACCAGGATGGCATGCAGTTCGGAGTCGGAAAAAGACTCGACTAAATTGGAGTAGTAGCTAGGAATACTTTGAGCGTTAATGTGACAAACGTTCAAATGGCGCAAAAGTTGAAGGTTAAACGTCTGCCGTAAAAAGTTTCCAAGAGTTGAGGTCAGAGAGCAGAAGCCATCGGCACTTGAAATGCTAGCATAAGTATTATATATTTTTAGCTTTTTTAAATATATTGGCTCTCAGGTTTAATGTATCATTCTTACTGATGTTTCTAGCTGTAAGTTTTCCATGTATAAATGAAATAAAATAAATGTAAGTATATGTATATTGTGTTTGTCTTTAGAATATAAGTCGGCTCGATCCCTTGGCGTTACGTAGAGATATAGCTTCGCTCTGCATTCTCTATCGCATATGTCATAAAGAGTGCTCCGAGGAATTGTTCGGACTAATACCAGCCGCAAATTTCCGTTATCGTTCCAGACGGCAAAATTTTCATCCTCATTTCCTGGATAGTTGGCGCTCCACTACTGTGCGCTTTTCGAGATACTTTTTGCCCCGCACAACCAATCTGTGGAACGGGTTATCGTCTGAGGTATTACCGGACCGATACGACCTTCAAACCTTCAAGAAAAGAGCGTACTCCTTCCTAAAACGCCGGCAACGCGTTTGTGACTCCTGAGTTGCAGACGTTCATGGGCGGCAATAGTCACTTTCCATCAGGTGACCCGTCTGCTCGTCTGCCCCCTCTAACATAAAAAAATATAAATATAAGTATTTTTATAAATAAGCCGAGTTATTTTGTTTTGAACTCCGAAATGAAGACTTCAACTCATTATGATTTTATTGCAACTGTTTAAAAACTGCTATTAAAATTAAAATAATTACCGTCCCGCAAACCTGTGTAATTAGTCTTAATTAGTAAAATATATTATAATCAAAGTAGTAGCAAAGTTTTAAAGTTTGGATTGTTTAATCTACATTAAACAGCGTTCATTAGAAACTAGGCATGATGAAGATTGCTATGGATCTGCACTAAGTTGACATCATGGACATCAATGAAACGTGGTTGAGGTTGGGTGAAGATGGA